ACAAGTTGTCTCACGTAATTAAGTGAAAATAAAGTTCTTGCAAACAAAAAGTGATTTACAGTAATAAAATCTTTGTGGTGCAGTATGTTACATTGCTGATATATGAGTTTTGAACACACAAAAAGATTTGTGCTTTAGAGTTACCAGGTACATGAACAAGCAATATTCTGTTTGCAGAGGCTGCCATTATATCATTTTTTTTTTTTACTTGCCAGTATTATTTTATAATGCATGCAGAAAAGGACATTGATTATTCTAGTGAATATGGTCATTTATGAAGATAAGCATTTAAAAATACAATGTACAATGAAATTTGATTGCAAACAAGCAGGTCCATTGTATTACAGTAAACCTCTATTTTTAATACAATACGGTGTAAAGGAATATGTTTTAATAATTCATGACACTTTTTTTTTAATGAGGAAGATTGATATTTAAAGGATTTTTTTTTCAAAGATCTCTTTTTTTAATAAAAATGAAAGAAGGGCCTGAAGCATATTTTTTTATGAAGGGGTCTGTTGACTTACTGAATCTGATTAAATGTTTGTTTCTGATGCAGAAACCCAGTTGTTCTCAGAAGTGGATGAAAGGATACAACTTTTTAAAATGGATGTTTGAGCTGACTATTTAAGGTGTATATGAGAATGGTAATTTTGTACATTCTAGAATTCAGCTAGATTAAAGCCCTTTTGGCAGCCTATTATAAACAACCAGACTTTGTTTGTGGTGCATTTTGGTAATTATTCACCAAAATGTACATTTCGTTAACAATTATATTGGACATTTCAATTGCTATGTATTTGTTGATGTTTGAGGTATGGAGGTGTGAACATATTCACTTGTTAATTCCTGCAAAAATCTTAGAGTTTACAACCCTTAAAATTTTATTTGCTATACAATCCCAACTTTTCTTTGTGATTTGTTGTTTGATTGAAAGCCTGGTATCCATTTTATTGGCGGAGCTTGAGATAAAGAGGTGCATTCATTTCATGAGAAAGGGAGAGTTTCATTGCTATATCATACTATTTCAATTATTTTATGTTATAGCAAAAAGTTGTTGATTTGCAAGGGAAAATTCTATTTACATTTGATAAATTGATAATTTTTAATCCTCTTTATTAAGTTTTTGAATTGGCCCAAATGAAGGTTGTTGATAAGTACCATTGTTAAAAAATATTTTCCTTTTTTATGTATTAATTATTAAATACATATGTTGCAATGTTAACATTTCCTCTTCTTTATATTTGTTGTGGCCATTGCAGTTTTTGTTTACCTTGTTGAATATATACATGTATACAAAGTTGTTATCTAGATAACTTATTTATGACATAATATATCTGGCTTGTGCCACAAAGTCACAAATTTACTTTCATATTGACCAAGCATTAATATTTGTTTACTCAAATTACTAATTAAGTTTATTAAACCGGTAATTTAAATGGTACACAGAAATGTATTAGCTTAAAGAAGTATCAGAAATACCAATTTATTGTGACCAAAAATATCACATTTTTACAAATCCATGTTTTTTTATTTGTATGTGAATTACGGTCATTCAAAATTAAGGGGCATGGAATTTTTAATTGTCAAGTTAATGGCATATTAAATATGCACAAAATTTCCACGCAGTGTCCATTTGTTTTTGAAGCAATATAGAAAATATTCATATGTTCCAACAAGGAGTTTTTCCAGTTGCCTTAAATTGTGCATAAAATCATTATTTTTTTCATTTTGCTAAAGTCATCCTTGAATTAATGACAGGGTCATTTTGATGTCTGAGTGACAGATATACTATACTGGATATTGTCTTTCATCTTGTCATAACAAGAGGATGCTATTTTTTGTGTGTTTGTATAGTTTTGTACAAAAATAAAAGACACAAGTCAATGTTGGAGAAACAGTATGTGTGTGAAACATATCAGGTCAAATAAATTCAGTGTCATTCCTATGATCTTTTGTTCTGAAATTAAAATACAAGTTTTCACCATAAAAAAAAAAAAACAAGAAAAAATTTGTTACCTGAGAGAAATAAATTTAAAGTTGATTCAATATTTAAAATTCACATAAGGGCAGAGTTGATTGATTATGTCCCACATTCATTTGTTACTAATCTATATTTTCGGGGGGGGGTCAAGTTTAAGTGTGCTGAATCCCCACCACCGCACTCTCATCAGAAGATGATGTTATTACGGGGTAATTGTCGATATTGGATGGCTGATCCTGTCAAGTAATGCAGGTAGACGAAAAAGAAAACGTAAATTTAAACAAGATGTGTTTGTGAAACACTGATGCTCCCGTATGGCAGCTAATGGCAAAGGTTAAAGTTTCTCAAATGCAAGTCAACTCCAAGGTCAAGAGATCAAAAATGTTGTTACCCAAAGAAAGGACTTGTGTCAATGGATATACCTGATAAATATGAAAGCCCAAGCACCAACCATTCAAAAGTTATGGTCAAAGATAATGTTTTCTAAAAGTGGGTCAACTCCAAGGTCAAAGGGTCAATGGTATGCAGGGGATGATCTTGTAATAAGAAATACACATGCAAAATATAAAAGTCCTAGCACTAACTGTTCAGAAGTAATGGCGAAGGATAAAGTTTTTCAAAAGTAGGTCAAAGTCAAAGGTCAAAATTAGGTGCGTTCAGAGTTCATCAGATTGTAACCAACGGCATGTTAGGTTACCAACATTTGCCAATGGTTGCAAATAGTAGCAATTGGTTACCACAGTTCACCATCAGTGTACTTTCAATTTTAAATGAGGTCACCAAATCTACCAGCAGTCTAGAGTGTCGGCAAGATTGGTGCATGACGTCACCATACCAATTCAACATGGCGGCTTTGGCAAATTAAGTGAAAAAGTGCACTATTGTACATGTTTTTGTTATACCATGACCAATATGTATGGAATTTGCATTTATCTGGAATTTTGTCAATAAAAAAATGTCACATCTTGTGCATATACATGTAATTTCATCTTACATATACCACAATATAAATGACTAATACCGGTATTATTTCTGTATCCTTGTGACATTTTTTTTTACAAGAACTTCTGAAAGTAAGTTTGTGGTATTAATATGATAGACCATTTTGCAAAATCTTGTCACGGCTACCAGAATTATTATTTTCCCCGTTTCATTGGTTCAATTGGTTACAAATGGCTACTAGTTGTAACCAAGTGCTGCCATTTGTTTGAAATAGACAAAAAATCGTTCATAGTTCTACAGGGAAAATTTATTGCAAACGGTATCCCTTGGTGTCTAATGCTTACCATAGTTTACTGATGGCAACCAAATGCTACCAGTGGTCGTTCTCAAATTCACCAATGGTAGAATTCTGAATGCACCTATTGTTGGTATCCAAAGGAAGGTCTTGTCACAAGAAATATACCTACATGTATGAAATTTGAAAGCTGTTCAAAAGTTATGGCCAATGCAAGGTTAACGTTGAGTAAATTTTTGCAAAAGTGGGTGAAATTCCAGGGTCAAGAGATCAAATATGTTGATACCCAAAGGAAGGTCATGTCACAAGAAATACACATGTGAAATACGAAAGCCATAGCTCCAATCAATCAAAAAGTTATGGACAATGTTAAAGTTTTTGCAGATAAACAGACAGACAGACAGACAGGGCAAAAACTATATACCCTCGAATCTTCGATTACGGGGGCAAAAAAATAATTTTAAAATTACGTGGAAACATACAGTGGTGCAATGTTCTACAAATTGCATCCATTTTGCTAAGTGGTCACAGTAGGCCTGTAAGTAAAACTATAGCATACTTAGCACATAATATTCCACCAACTGTGAAAGTCTCAGATATCTACTGTATAGAGTATTGTTTATCCTTAATTCATTTTCACAGAATCTGTGTCTTCGTTTTTCATAGCATAATCATGCTCCTTCTCGAACTGATCGAGGCTCGGGGGTAATCGACGTAAATGTAACATCTATATAGGGCAGTGAGGTTGTTTTCCCATTAGAAACTCTTCGGACAGAGTAGCTCTAGTTGATATGAAATTACTGATGGACAATGACAATGAAATATATTGAAAAACTTTATCATCTTTTTGCCGATTCTGTCGACCTTCACATATTAACATACTGAAATATTTTAAATACGTCTATCATAGCCAGGAGAAACAAAGAAAAACAAGAAGCTGTAGATTCTAGTTTTAAGGATGCAGTCCATATATCAAATTTTATTTTATTTATAATTTTAACAACGATGACTGAACAAAGGCTATGAAAAAATTAGTGTTTTAACTAAGTTTGATTAACTGTTGTTTTTTTTTTTTCTTCCTTATTTATTATTGTTCCAAATATTTCTTATTCTTCATGCTTCGTCTTTCTTTAATATATGCCCACTGTGAATCCATACTCCACCATCAAAGGGATCTTCATGCTGTGCTCTAAATGTTGTTTACTTCGGGGTGATTGGAAATTAATTATGTTCTTAAACGGTACAAAAATTTCACAGTTCTCTCTCTTTTTCTCTCTCTCCTAGAATTCACATCCGCCGCTTCCAACCATGCACTTCCTTGTATGTTCTTTCTCTATTATCTGTCTACTTCTTCAGCACACAAAGTGCTCCATACAGACCCACTTTGATACTACAACAGCCATAAGCTAATATTATTTCAAGGGTAAGTACATGAACCATTAAAAAAAATAATATAGTGCCTTGTGCATGTCCAAAATTAGGAAGTCATTGAAAGAGCAGCTCTATTTTCACATTTAATTTATAGTAATGCTAACGTTTTAAAGCTGAAAGACAAGGAAAAGATACAAATATACTTCCCTGAACGTTTTGGCTTGTCTTCTGGGAAAAAGACAATTAAGGTGGATACACCTGAAACGGGTAATAAAAAGTAAGCAATTGATATCTTTAAAGTAAGTTTTGGTAATATTAAATCATAATCATGAAAAATAAAGAACAAAATCCTTGTCTTATATAGGATTATAATGATTGTTAAATAGGTTTGGAGACACCCTTACTGTATCACAAGTCTTCGTCACTCTCTGTATCAATACCATAAATATCCTCATCATCAATTTCGTCGTCTGCTTCATCGCCATCGGCGCCCTCAAGGAGGAAAACTGGGTTACCATAGCGACCATAAAGTGAACCTGAATCGCTGTACTGCCCATTATTTTCCAAGAAGGCGTGTTCGATTAGGATTTCTTGTCGGAGTTTGTTGACACTACAGGCTTTGTATGTGGCAAATTCATAGAACATGTTTCGAACACCCTCTAAGATTGCCATTTTCATTCTAAGAGAATATCGAAAGGACTTCTGACCTAATTTGTCTGCACGGTCGTACCGCTTGGCCAGCTGCTCAAACCTTTGGTTAAGTACCGTCAGTTGCAGACAAGCCATGCCATAATATGTCTCCTGCTCTCTCAGTCGATCTCGCAATTCATTTATTTTCGACATAACTGAATTTCAAGTTAATTCAAAAATAAGATTTCTGAAATACTTTGTTTAGATAAACCGAAAGCCGATAATTTGTTTACTTTAAAATTAAATTCTCAAATTTTATATTGTATTATGATTAAAATGCGAGCAGAACAATCAAATAAATGCAAAATAGAGAAGCTGCTGAGAGCAGGTTGACATGTAAAGCATGACGATGCATCTAACTATATACATCATATAGCCGAGTGTTACTTATTCTTTTCTCGAGTGACAGCTATGAAAACTCCAAAAATTGTCGAAATGGTGTGTAACGGTAGTTTTTTAATCGCTGACAATTATAAAATGGTGCTAAGACTCTCAGGCAATTATCACGTGTCAAATACAATCACAGCAGTATTATCTCTTCTAAGGTTTTTATCATACAAGTGATTGTAATTGCTTAATTATATGATATTTAGATTCAGAAATGCATTCGCAGTTTTATACAAGGAAGTTTAAAAGACTGATGGAAATGTTTGAATACAGTATATTTTCGTTGTTTTGTAATTATTGGAAAGTGAATTTATTTCACGAGTTTGTGTTTTCATGGATGAATACAAAGCAAGGGGAAAATAATAATTATAATAATTAAACATATTGCAAGAGAAAATAAATTAATTTCCAACTACAAAGCATTGACTTTTGTTTCTTTTTACCAAATTTTCTTGGTTTTACCGATATACATATCGCCACTCTGTTAACAATTAAAATTTCTAAACTTAAAAGACCCTATATAGAGTGTTAGAATTTCTCTATCTAAGTTCAAAATTCTAAATTTTAAATGATAATTAATGGGGTTTGTCTATGTAGAAAAAAAACGTAACATAAATAAATGCAATGATAGTATATCTAAAACTTTGAGATTATAAATTTATTATTTTTAATTATCGAAATACATGTAACTTTTCCCCCTGAATTTTGAACTAAAAAAATCGGAATTCTAAATCTGTGACATAATTTTAGAAAATAACATAACATGACAATACACACAAAAAATAATCAGGTAGCTCGATGTAAATCCGGGAAATTCATTTTTCAGTAGCATAGATTTTTCTTTTTAGAATTTTAACCGGAAGTAACAGAATGCGAAATGAAAACAGAAATATCAAGAACGAAATGGTAAGAACATTCCAAGAATTTTTTGGTACTTTACACTCAAAACGTATCTTATTTTTGTTAAGTTTTCAAGACAGATCATGAACTGCTCATTATATTTCAAATGATTGAGAATGTGTTTATGAGTAATGAACGTAACGGTTGTGTCAATCTACCCATGTCTCAACGTATTGCCAGAGGGATGTTAATCACCCTACAAATGTTACTTAAATTTTAACTTCCTCCTTATCTATTTATGGTTATTTTATTATTTTTATCTGGACATATGGTACATTATGTTTATCAGGATATTCAAGCCTAGAATGTGTACCGTATTGTAATATGATACGTACTTAATGTATACTTAATGATATGTGATGCTTGCAGTAGTGTATATTCTCAGAGGTTCATGAGTCGTTACACTAATTTGATTGTGTCTGTTTTGTAAATGAATTTGAAATACTGTTTCAATATGTAAATCAAACGTTAGTTATAAATATTTTTTCTTTCAGTTGAACAGATCATTTAGAAAAATAATGCCTTCATTGATTGTTGACACCTCGTTCAAAGTATCGATACCCACCACCATTTTGAAAAACAGGTCCTAGGGTTGTGACCTCAGCAGAAATTTCATTATAAAGGCCAAAAATTCCCATTTGGATATGTGACTTCTGTTGACATAATGTAAACAATGCGAACAGTAGCTCCAGTACACTTGAGATACAATGTAGGTTGTAAGAAAAAAATATTTTAGACTCACTTTTCAAAAGTATGCGGTAATAGCGAATTCATGCTAAGTGAGGTGATATTTTGTTTCAGACCATATATTTTTTACCTGTTTTGATCTTATCATCGTTAGCAGTTGTCAAATATGACAATAGCAATCCAAATAAATTTTTTCTTACGATGTTTGGTGCAGCAGGGGACACAATCTTGCAAAATACTAGAGGAAAATAAAAGGGGCATGACTCTAGGACCGTAACAAATTTAGGGCCTCTGACGATATACAGATAGATGAAGCAACTTAATTTTTAATATCTCCGCTCTTATTTTTAAGGAAATGAGTGAAGAGTCTCAGGTTCCAAATGGAAAACGAAAATCTACTGAAAATGGTTCAAAGTATGGAAGAATGGATTTAGCAGACTTTGTAACAGAAGTTGAAACATTTTCTCGTCTTGTGGAACCAATTGCATTTGTTGTGTACTGCATTGAAGACATAAGAAAGTAGGTTTCTAGAGGTTTTACTCCTCATATTTTTAGGTCACCTGAGTTTACTCAGGTGACCTATTGCTATCTGTTTTCGTCCGTCGGCGTGCGTCGTCCGTCGTGCGTTAACATTTGAACATTTTCAGCTTCTTCTCTGGAACAAATGAACCAATTTCAACCAAATTTGGCACATAGCATCTAGATGTGAAGGGGAGTAAAAATTGTGAAATTCATGACCCCTACCCCCCTGGGGCCTGAGGGGTGGGGCTAAAACCATCAGAATTAATGCAATCTTTAAAAATCTTCTTCTTTACTCCTGGGCATCAAGCAGGCAAACTGTTGGCATGAATGTAATAAGCATTGAGCCCTCTACCTAAATTGTGAAATTTATGGCCCCAGGATCAGGGGTTCTGGTGCTAGGGTGGGGCTCTGTTGAATATGTAGTGAAAAGCATTATTCTTAAAAAATCTTCTCCTCTGCTCTTTAGTATTTAGAAAACAAACAATATGCATAGTTATGACGAGGAAAGGTGTTTCTTTTATAATTGTGAATTTCATGGCCCCTGGGTCAGGGGTTCTGGTGTTAGGGCGGGTATCTAATGATTATATAGTGAAAATGCATTAATTATTCAAAAATCTTCTCCTCTGCTCCTGGGTATTAAGCCGATGAACTAAGTACATAGTTATAATGAGAAAGAGTGCCTCTTCCAAAATTGTGAATTTCATGGCCCAGGGGTCAGGGGTTCTGGTGTTAGGGTGGGGCTCTGTTGAATATATAGTGATAATGCATTATTTCTTTAAAAAGCTTCTTCTGTGCTCTTGGATATTATGAAAACAAAATAAATACATAGTTATGATGATGAAAGGTGCCTCTTCCAAAATTGTGAATTTCATGGCCCCAGGGTCAGAGGTTCTGGTGTTAGGGCAGCGTTCTGTTGAATATACATGTATAGTGAAAATGCATTATTTCTTTTAAAAATCTTCTCTGATCCAGGGCAAACAAACTGAAGGCATAGTTATGATGAATAAGGGTGCCTATTCCTATCTTGTGAATTTCATGGCCCCCTGGTCAGGGGTTCTGGTTTTAGGGCGGGGCTCTAATGATTACATAGTAAAAATGCAATAATTCTTTGACAATCTTCTCCTTTTCTCCTGGGTAATAATCCGATGAACTACGAGTATAGTTATGATATGTAAGGGTGCCTGTTCCAAAATTGTGAAATTCATGGCCCCTGGGTCAGGGGTTCTGGTGTTAGGGTGGGGCTCTGTTGAATATATAGTGATAATGCATTATTTCTTTAAAAATCTTTTTCTTTGATCCTGGGTATTTAACAAACAAACTGATGCATAGTTATGATGAGTAAAGGTGCCTCTTCCAAAATTATGAATTTCATGGCCCCTGGATCAGGGGTTCTTGTGTTAGGGTGGGGCTCTAATGATTACATAGTAAAAATGCAATAATTCTTTGAAAATCTTCTTCTTTTCTCCTGGGTATTAAGCTGATGAACTAAGAGTATTGTTATGATATGTAAGGATGCCTCTTCCAAAATTGTGAATTTTATGCCCCATGCATCATGGTTCTGGTGTTAGGGCAGAGCTCTAATGATTACATAGTGAAAATGCATTAATTCTTTGATAATCCTCTGCTCTCTTTCTGGGTATTAAGTAAGCTTACTAAATGTAAAATTATGATGAGCAAGTGTGCCTCTTTCAAAATTGTGAATTTCATGGCCTCTGGTTTAAAACATGAATCCATTGTGGCGAAGTTATTGCATGATACTCAGGTGACCTATAAGGCCCGTGGGCCTCTTGTTGTAATCGGTAAGCAAATGTCCTGTCTACCTGCAAGCTCTTTCTACTGGCTTAAAAAATTGAAGAAAATGGTAAATTAAGACTTCCTGGTAATAAGATTTTGGAACTATATATCTGTAGTTTCATACATTGCTTTTAAGATATTTTGAAAAAGGAAAAAAGATATTTTTATTTAATTTTTTTTTAACCAGCTGGTATATACTTATGATAGTTATGACCGATCAGTATAACCATTATCATTGTGAATACTTGGCCAAAATTAAAATATTAACTATCAATATAATTTTACACCATAATTCTTTTTAACAGATGGAAATATACAATTGGGACCTTGGTTGTGTGGATTCTGTGCAATATTGGTTGTCTTGTTTTAACTAAAGGTAACTAAGAAAAATTTTAATATGGATTCAAAACTGTTTTATATCTTAACATGTATGTGCCATTCTTTGAGTGTGAGTGTATGTGAACACTCAGGTTTAAAGATGTCTAATATAAAGATACACATTGTAGGTATTTCCAAATGATTAAGAAAAAAGAGTTTACACAAATATTATTTCCATTATTAATCCATGTCATTGTAGTATAAAAATGTACAGAATCGTAGAAATAAAAGCACAACTGAAATGTCAATCTTCTTGTTTCTACAGGTGCTGTGTTTACTCTGATATCATTGCTGGTAATATGCATTGCAACTACATCCTTAGTACAACTACATACCAGAATCCTGGATAAATGTCTTCCCTCTACATCATCTCAAAAAGAGGAAGAGGATGAAGATATAGAAGATGAAGAAGCAATGAAGACTGTCAAACAGTTCCGTTATAGGTTAGATACATGCTGTCAAACAGTTCCGTTATAGGTTAGATACATGCTGTCAAACAGTTCCGTTATAGGTTAGATGACTGTCAAACAGTTCCGTTATAGGTTACATACATGCTGTCAAACAGTTCCGTTATAGGTTAGATGACTGTCAAACAGTTCCGTTATAGGTTAGATGACTGACAAACAGTTCCGTTATAGGTTAGATACATGCTGTCAAACAGTTCCATTCTAGGTTAGATACATGCTGTCAAACAGTTCCGTTATAGGTTAGATGACTGACAAACAGTTCTGTTATAGGTTAGATGACTGTCAAACAGTTCCGTTATAGGTTAGATGACTGTCAAACAGTTCCGTTATAAGTTAGATGACTGTCAAACAGTTCCGTTGTAGGTTAGATGACTGACAAACAGTTCTGTTATAGGTTAGATACATGCTGTCAAACAGTTCTGTTATAGGTTAGATACATGCTGTCAAACAGTTCCGTTATAGGTTAGATGACTGTCAAACAGTTCCGTTATAGGTTAGATGACTGTCAAACAGTTTCGTTATAGGTTAGATACATGCTGTCAAACAGTTCCGTTAGAAAGACAAGTCTAAAATATTGTTAAGAACTTCATATACAGTTGAACTTCGGTATCTCGAACACTGATACCTTGAATACCATGAATATGTTGAAGTGATTTTGAAGTTCCAACCCCTTATTTCTTAAGTATTTTATCCTGGATATCTCGAATTCTCGGATATCTTGAAATTTTTTCTCGGTCCCATTGAGTTCGAGATAAAGAGGTTTGACTGTATATATTATTAAAAATTTTCTTTATTTAAAAAAAAAGGATGGAAATGTCATATCGTTCATCAAAGCAGTTTCAACATGATGATCATCATTAATGCTATTCAAATCACTCCAACATATGAATTTCTTTTCAGTTGCAAGCATTCAAAAAAGTAAATCTCTCTTTTAGTATGAGAGAGTTAATGAAATTTGGTAATTGAAATATGTTGATATTTTTTTGTTTGTAGCCTCCTACAAATGTATGATTTTATTGTACTCTGCAATGAAGGACTAACACAGTTCTACAGAATCCTCAAATGGGACAACACTCTTGCCTCTCTCAGGTAAATAAAATAAAATAAAATAAAAAAAATTTTATAATGAAAAACTAAATATTTACTGATATATATCAATATAGTATGGAACTTGTTCAAAAATTTGCTAGCCCATAATTCAAGTTTTTCTAAATTTAGATGGTATTGAATGAAAAAATTCCTTATAAAGTAATCAGCTCATCTGAAAATTCATTAGTCTTAAACTATAACAGGGTTAGTGAAATTTCTTAAGTTAGTATATTGCTACATCTACTTTGGGATTCTGTTTCCATTGTGGTTGCTAATTTTCACTATATTTTGTAGATTCCATGTGGAGATATGTGTATTCTTGTTAAGTTTGGTTGTCTTGCCAACAAGAGGAATTTGTTTTATGCTGGTTAATTGGTTTTTCTTGGCCAATGAGGTTGTGTTTTACAGTGAGTATATGTATACAATGTTCACAGAAATATTTCTATACATGTAGTTTTAAAAATCATTGGTATTGGGTTTTATAGACATATTTAAAAACAATGAGTGTCTGTTCCCTTTACAGAGTTGTTGAAATATGGAGAAAAAGTGTGGGGAGTTTCCCTGTCTCCAATACCAATCAAAGACAATGGGGCTATCAGGGTTAGTATAAAGCTTAGTGTTAACTGCTCTCTCATTCATTCACTCATTAAAACTATACCAATGTTACAGCTACAGATTTGATCTAGATGGATAATAAATTTTGTTATACTACTTTTAGTTTAACAATATGGCAAATATACAGTGTAATATACTTGTAGTGAAGAAGGGACTAGAGCTGCAAGTATTTTTTTTTTGGTTAAATCTATTCATCTTTAATAACCTTTTAGTACACTGTTTTGGAAGAAGATCAACAGAAGTCTAAGGAAGAGGACACAAAAGAACAACCAGAGGTACGTTCTACACTACACAGTTAATCAGAGTGGCCAACTGGTCGATTGTTTTGGTTCCAGTGGGGAATCTGTTAATACATGTATAATTCATTCACAGTTATGCAGTAGATTGTGAAATTAAGTTGCTGAATTTAGGAGCTACAAACTTGGTGGTTATAAGATCTATAAAAATAAAATCATATTGGCAATGACATGATAGTACAGTGTGGTATTCATCTGATTATTGCTGCATTATTAAAATTAATCTCAGGTTGATTGTGACCCAAGTCAGCTAGAGATCATGTCTGATGACTCAGATCTGAAGAGTTCTATCTACTCCAAACCCAGCATGGTGGAGCGTCTCTTAGAGTTAAGAAAACGAAGACAGCATATTGCACATGGTTAGTTACATTCACATAGCAAAACATTTGGTATATTATCCCACCAGCGCAAGAAATTATTTTAAACCTACATAGAGAAATAAAGTTCATAAAAAAATTAACAATACTAGTTTAATCCCTTTATATAATGTCATGGTTTAATTCTAAATTTTAAAGTTAAAATATGGTTGTGAATGGTTAGTTATACATGGTTGGGGATGCTTTCTTTTCCCAACTGATGTTCTTACCTCCATTTTTCAGAAACTTGTCATAAATGTGACGTTTCCTTTGCTTCCATACTGAAAAGAAGAGTAAGTAATTAATTGTATCTATTATATTTTATTACATGTTTAACGTAGAAATGGCAGCTTAATTTTATATTTATTTTAAAGGATGAAATTTTATGTGAACCAAATCAATCATTAAAACACTAAAATTTTATAATCTAATTTGTTTAAGATATAAAGTATTTGTCCCTCATGTAATGTATATTTAGTTTCGTTACTCATGATTTGGAAAAAAGGATAATTATTATGGATGTTTTTGTAGTTTTACTGCCGGCATTGTGGAAATAATTTCTGTTCAAAATGCTGTAACCAGAAAGTTCCCAAATCAATGTTTGGAGCAACAGGTACTGTATCATATCTGGTGTGAGACTTAATGCAAACATGATATCAATATATACAAATACAATTTACAACAATATTGCTCCGAAAGAATGTGAACATGCATACACAATTCTATTTTTAGCTCCCCAAGCACAGACTGAAATGGTCCTTGTATGTGGTGTGTGTTATGACCTACTTATGAACCAAGCAGATAAGGATAAACAAAGTTAATGGATGTAATGTTAATGGTGGGAATGATGTAAAGTCAAAAGAGAAAGACTCACAGTTGTTTTTACCAGAATCCCACTTACTTTGTATCTCATCTCTGATTTGGAAAATCACTGCCAAGATTGTATTTTAATGTTGCAAATAGAATCCTTCAATATTGTATGTGCGAGGGAGGTATATGTATACTGAGTTTAATATTCACTTGACTGTAAGAAATTCTTTCTTTGCATGATGTGTACTTGTAAACATTTCTACCTGCATTCATTTTACATTGCAGAGTAGGATTTATTTGAGAGGGTTAGGAGGGGAAAAAAGGATATTTTTTCTCTGCCAATACATTTTGATAAAGTCGTACAAGCCAATTTTGTAACATAACAATGTTAATTGTTTAGAACTGATTCTGTCACAGATTTTTACCTTGCTTGCTTAAGACACATCTGTTACTGAATATGTTTGTTGTTTATGATATTTTGCACATTGATAATTTATTTCACTTGTTTCTTTTTTGTTATGGTTACCTGTTCAAATGTATATTATTATACAAAATGTACATATATCAAAAACTGACTTAAAACTCTGAAGTATATTGTTTATATTTTAAATTATGGCAGTATTTTTTGGTCCAGAAATCCCAGTTTGATATATCTTCTGCATGTCCAGAATTGAACACTTACTTGTATTTCATTTCAAACAAAGAATTTCTTCATGTGTAAAAAATTCTGTCTTATTGTTTTGTAAATAATACGGGTTGTTTGGTATTTTCTGAAATCCAAGGCATTCTTTGACGTACATGTATTTTCATTTGCCCATACAAAATGTTTTGTGATAATTCAATGTGACAAAAGGGATAAAATGTCTATTTTCATCTCAAAAACGGACTGGGACCTGGATATAAACAAAAATAAATGTAAATTTACATGTATGTTGAACAAGTTTATGGCATTTTATGAGGAAATGGAACAATTTTTGACAAAATTCTTACCATCGATGCTACCAGAAGTACAAAGGATATTGCTTCAATGCATGTAAAAACAATATTTGTTAAGTAAATATATTATTTCGTAAGGGCTGATTTTAAACAGATTTTACATTCATTAAAAATTCGGGGAAATTTGCTTATTTATCAAGAATTTTGAAATACATTGTAATTTGAAGACATTCAGAAAATAGAGTTGTGAACAAGAGGCATATTGAAGTTTAACATTAACTTGAGTTAAATTTTATTATATGTTAATGCTTGTTTTTGTTTTTGTTTTTGTTTTGTTTTTTTTTTTTTTGCCTGTACAGTATATCCATAATTATTTTTCATTCTTTTATTTGGGAATCACTTTTGCATCAAGTGTTATTTGCTATTAAGCTTTCTTGTTTATTAACATTCAATAATGAGAAGCTTTTTTTGGATGATAGATACATGTTAGTGTGAATAAGTGGCAAATCTCACCAATATTTCTCACACATGAATAATACAGGCACATAGTATCCTTTTTGGAAAAGGCGAGGGGGGAAGATAATTGACAATTTACTGGAAAAATCGTCGACAAGCAAGCAAAGAAATAAAAAAGAAAATTTGTCCAAATTAGACAATCTTATTTTGTGTGGGTGTTGGAGGGGGGGGGGGGGTCTTACCAAAAAGGGTACTAGCCTTTCAGTGAACATTTTTTACTAAATTAAAACATAATAATTGGGGGGGGGGGGGGGGGTGTTTGCCTGTTATAGTTAGTTTGCAACATTATATCAAATGATTGAGACCTTTTTGTAAAGTAACATTTGTAGGAGCAAAGAACAACATGCTTACTAGAAGATATATGTTCATGTATTTCATTCATCATGGCATCATCTGGCTTTTAGATTACTTTGTGTAATCTTAAATACCAGTCTGGATTGAATTTTCCACAAAGTAGGAAATATTTGTGTGGCAATGGCCCATTTTTTTTGTCAGTGAAATTTAATGGAATTTTTTTTTCTTTTTTTTGGTAGTGTTTTTTTTTTTAGTGGTGACTGGTGCTTCTAGTCTTTTGTCTAGTCTAAGTGTAATGGCTTGCCTTTCGTGTGTGGTGTTGGTTTCCAATAAATATTGGAATGTAAGTAAATTTTTTTTTGTCTGAAATTTGCCTCCATATCTTCTTATGTATATATATTTTTATCAGTATTAGAGGCGTCATTATATTCTTTTTTTTTGTTGAAGTAATGAATTCATTTAACGTAGATATAAACAAATTTTACAATGGAATGTGCCAGTTCATGGCTTGTACATATACTTTTGGTACATAAAGTCAACCTTAGAATTGTCCATGTAGAAGGTGAACACAGTTTGATGTGACGTTCCATATTTATACCCCACGCAACAAGTTGCGTGAGGTATAATGTTTTTGACCCGTCCGTCAGTCAGTCAGTCAGTGTGTCAGTCAGTCAGTCAGTCAGTCAGTCAGTCCGTCAGTCCTGTTTTTTTGTCAGCGCAACTCCTCATAAACCGCTGCACAGAATTTCGTCAAACTTTGCAGATATTTAGGACACAATGTGTAGATGTGCATATTACCAGGAAATTCCGATTCCTTTATTTTTTCTCGGAATTTCGGCACTTTTCAACTTAGATTTTTGGCCATATCTTGAATATGGAGATGAACAGTTTGTCAGCGCAACTCCTCATAAACCAATGCACAGAATTTGGTCAAACTTTGCAGATATTTAGGACACAATGTGTAGATGTGCATATTACCAGGAAATTCCGATTCCATTATTTTTCTGGGAATTTCAGCACTTTTCAACTTAGATTTTTGGCCATATCTTGAATATAGAGATGAACAGTTTGTCAGCGCAACTCCTCTTAAACCGCTGCACAGAATTTGGTCAAACTTTGCAGATATTTAGTACACAGTGTGTAGATGTGCATATTACCAGGAAATTCCGATTCCGTATTTTTCTGGGAATTTGGGCACTTTTCAACTTAGGTTTTTGGCCATATCTTGAATATAGAGGTGAACAGTTTGTCAGCACAACTCCTATTAAACCGCTGCATAGAATTTGGTCAAACTTTGCAGATATTTAGCACACAATGTATAGATGTGCATATTACCAGGAAATTCCGATTCCTTTATATTTTCTTTGAATTTCGGCACTTTTCCACTTAGATTTTTGGCCATATCTTCAATATAAAGATGAACAGTTTGTCAGCACAACTCCTCTTAAACCGCTGCACAGAATTTGGTCAATCTGCAGATATTTAGTACACAGTGTGTAGATGTGCATATTACCAGGAAATTCTGATTCCATTATTTTTTCTGGGAATTTCGGCACTTTTCAACTTAGGTTTTTGGCCATATCTTGAATATAGAGATGAACAGTTTGTCAGCACAACTCCTCTTAAACCGCTGCACAGAATTTGGACAAACTTTGCAGATATTTAGTACACAGTGTGTAGATGTGCATATTACCAGGAAATTCCAATTCCATTATTTTTGCCTTAAGAGTTTTGCCTTTTATTGAAGAAACTTTCCAGCTAGGTAATAAGAAACTCCACTGGAATCAGCTTTTTATAATGAAATTCTATGTGAAATATTTTATGACCTTAAAAGACCCCTATTGATTTTGAGATCAAAATATTAATGGTTTAACACAAACACACACTCACACACACACCATCTTCGATAGTTCTCTCCCCCCCCCCCCCCCCCCCCCCCCCTTCAAATTGGTGTGCTTTGCTTTAAATAATTTCATAAGTACAGTATATAAACAGATTCATATGACTACATCATAATTTTGTTTCCATCAATTATTTAAATGTGTAAACTGTCATGTGTTGGACATGGACTTACACTCATTAACAAATCGAAATCACTGAGGAATTTAAATAACAGTTTGTCAGCATAATTCCGGCACTGAATTTCCTGAAACTTTGTAGGTATTTCAGAATAATGTATAGATTTGTATATTACCAAGAAATTTTGATTCCATTATTTATCTAGAAACTTCAGCCCAGTTAAATTTGTAACATACAAAGATTTGAATGTCCTTATATGCAAGAAGTTTTGATGTGATGATTTTTTGCAAGTAATGCCCCTTTTTTGAATTATACTGTGTATTTAAAATGCACTGTGCCATTCATTACGTGTTGCATTGTCGAGTTTTGGGGAAGCGTGGGGTATGTGAGCTTGCTCACTTTTTCTTTCATTTGAATGAAAAATTCTTTGTGCTAGGATCAGATTTGATCTTTTTTCAAATGAAAGTTGAAATTTAAATAATTGATTTTATTCTCAAATAAAGAAATCACTACTGATGTAAATTATTATTTTCTTTTTTTGCTAAACAATGTTTGCATAAAGTACCTTGGAAATAATTTACATTTCGCTTACGATTTTTTGAGGAAATTTTGCTCAACTGTTTTATAACTTCTCCATTATGAAGGTACTGTTTATGATACATTTTCCTACAAATTTAACATTTTGTCAGATTTATCTTTGCCCAAAGTTCATTATTGGGAAAAATGAAGGGAAAAATGGTTTGCGGTGACAGTTGAATTGAGGTTTTTTAGTTAGAGTAATTGAAGTGTATATGATTTGAATTAAATATTGTTTTATCATAGAATGAATTTGCTTGTACTGAATTGCATATTTCTTTGTAAAATAAACCTGACTAATGCAATGTTTGGGAATAGTGAATACTATGTATGTTGATTTTGAGATTTTTAAACTGTTATCTCAAGTTTATGCTAATTTGTATTTATTAATTTATGCTTTTTTTTTACCTAATGCATTTTACTCATAACACCGATGTTAGTGACATAGGTTTTATTTTTTTTCAAAGCATTTTTAAATTTTTTTTACATGTATGTGCAAATATTTTTCTAGCATTAATATGAGTTTTGCGTAAATTATATAGAATATTATTGTTGATCTATTATTTACAAATGTTAGACAATATATTCTTTTTTACCATGCTTTTACAGATTGTGTTGGAATATGTTTTTATATGCTTGACTAAAGGAATCTTTTTGTTAAATCGTAAAAAGAAAAAAAAAATGTTATCGATGTGATGTATACAGTTACGTCAATGTCATGAGAATGGGCGTTGGGTGTGAAGGCAGCCCCATATAAAGAAAAAAGACTCAAAAATATCTTTAAAACAAAGTAAATTCATTATTCTCTTTTTTAAGTAATGCTGTTAGATTTTGTTTAATCTAATATGTGATGAAATGACTTCAAGAATGCACCAGAACCCACCAGAATGGTATCTATTTATAAAAAAATTCTGGCTCAGAGGAGGGGATACTTCTCCCAGATCCTCCCCTGCACTGCCTTATCCAGAGACTTGGCTAAGGCCCTACTTGTTATTGAAGTTATTGTACATAATACTGATAAATATGACCAAGAAATTGATGATTTTATAATTTTACTGTAACATTATAGGATGCTGAGAGGATGCTGAGTAGTAATTCACTTAGCCTTTGATGAATAAGATCAAAATTTGGAAGCTCTTGTATTTAATAATCAAATTATCATCTCACTGCCACTGAATCATCACCTATGATGTCATGGCAACATGGCATGCAAATCTGATTGAAATATGCATATCACCATTTTGATTTCAACTCTCAATATCACTTAAAATATGCTTACAACAACATCGACAATTGTTTTCAGTATTTTAATAAACATGGCTTTAAATAATATTTTCATAAATTTTAAATTACAATTTTTTAAGAGCATGCGATAATTTCTTTTAAAAAAATCATTTTCACCATTCAGACTTAACAGGACCATAGGTAGTTTTGGTAGTTGGATTATAAAATGAAGAAAAAAGCACATTACTATGTGAGATCTGTATTTAATTTGTTTTTGGAAATGGATTGATACAATGGGTTTTGCAGGAAATATGTTGTATGTTTGAATGTCAGCTCAAATACAGTAAAATATTGTTAGTTTTTTGTGTTGTGAATAAAAGTATGAGTAAATTCATCTGTTTTTCTTTTTGAAACCAGAATCTGTTTTAAATATCTGAAAAATAATTCCATGGAGATATACACATAGATTTGGTATAAAGTTGACCAATTTCACGTACATTAATTTTTACAATGAATTTTTTGCTGACAAACTTTTCTTTTTAGATGGAAGAGGCAAGAGTTTTTTTTGTTTTTTTTATTAATTTGAATTTGTCACATTATAGTTGTGAATTTATGACATCATATGTTTGGTGACAACTTTGCCTTCATGATAAAACTACCTTCAAAACTAAAGAAACTGTTGGCCCTATGTGAGCATCTTTTTGAGGTATATATATGTCCAATTCTTTTTCTGAACTCCTCTAGTTAGACAAGACATAAGGAAAACAACAGGACTAAGAAATCTGTATAGTTCAACATGAATTGGCTGATCCTGAGACAAAAAAAATGACCTGTAATGACAAGGATAGAAAAACAAAAAACTTAACAAGAAACTAACACCATACTTATAAATGACACAGATGCATGTTTAATTTCTTGCATGTTCTCATGTAAAACTTTGAATCTCCCAGTGCGATCTCTGTCCTAGCTAGCCTCAGTGGTCATGACTGTCTGCTATGGTCTATAAATTTGAATGATTTTTTTCCTAATGTAATCCCCATTGTGCAACTTTGACCCGATTTTTTGGCCCCTCCCAACTTCTGTGGGGGGGGGCATAATTTTAACAAATATCAAGAAAACATTTGCTCTAAGGTTTGTCTTTTCTTGCTCAGTATTTTTGGAGTAAGTATTTCACCAAATTTTTCACTATTTAAAAAAAAATCTCCAATTGGAAGAGGGTGTGGCCCTTCATGTTGAGAAAAGTTTGAATCCTCTGGTCTTAATTCATCCAAGGATGCTTTGGGGCAAGTTTGGTTGGAATTGGCCCTGTCGTAAAAGTTGGAAATGTACACTGGATGGTGAGTTCAGGAAAGCTTATATACTTAAGTCTACTTGAGTCTAAGCTCATGCAGTTGAAGTAAAACTTTCCAGTAACAGAATTGGGTGGATTGGTCAGGTAGCTAAATCTTAGATGTTCTGCAGGGACAGAAGGAAGTCCTCAGCTCCATTCCCAGTCTGGCAGACACTTTTTCCCGTTTGTTATACAGTTAAACAAGCTTATAGTGAACATGCTTATAATGAATTGATGCTTATAGTGAAGCGATTTTCATTCCCCACAACTTAAAAATATATATTGTTAACTTTTTGGATATAACAAATTAAGCTTGTAACAAAGCAAAATCACCTGTCCCTGGCACTTCGTTATAAGGCTTTTTAGCGTGTTTTACTGTACGATTTCAAAAGTTGGCTTTGATAGACATTTCAGCCATGTGTTTGAACTTTGAATCAAGAACAACTAATCTTAAGGAACAGCTACTATAATTAGTCCTTTTCATGCTTCACTGGAGCTTACACTCACTCGGGAAATATGCAATTCTTTTTCGTTTTGTTATTAAATAGCGGACATTGCATTCGTAAAATTGATTTAACCCAAGGGAAGATAATCCAAAATGGACGTGTGCAGGTGGCAGATTTCTTGGATATTTGGTTTTTTCTTGTTTTTATCAGACGTAATCGGAGATTTCGACAGGAGAGATTATATGAAGCGAGAACACACTCTTGTTAAACCATACTCTGGTAATTAAGTCTTCTCTTAAAGTAATTTTTCACAACCGGCAGCCATTACAAGTATTTTGTCAAACGCAGTTTCACTAGAGAAGTGTTGTTTTGTCACAGAAATTTTGAAATGCACTTGGAGAGATTCAATATTTTATGTTTGTTACAGTATATGAAAATCAGATTTTACTCAACCACCTTCAGAACATTATGAATTTTATTTTTTGCGTTAAGACAGAGGAAACTCGAATTTCCTCAGATTGCCCCACCCTGGGAACCAAAATTTAGAAGAATCTTCTTATCTAATAAATCCTGATTTTTTTCTGCCATGAATACATTAATGTGATGAAATTTTGAAAATTTTGTAACAGTGCTGAATATTTCTTTCTTGTCCATGTGGACAGGTTTGGACCTATCGCCCAATTGGGATATAATAACCCGTCTGGGATATAATATCCCAAATGGGATATAAATTTACAGTGCAAAAAATGAACATTTTTATTTTGGCTATAAGTCATAAATCCGCATCAAAATACTTAAGGAATAACTTATTTTTTCTGCAACCCCTCAGTTTGTTAGATTCGTAATGGGAGAGGAGAAAAATGCGATGGACCAGACCAGGATTCAAACCCGGGCCCCCTGGATCTCCAGTCAGGTGCTCTACCAACTGAGCTATCTGGCCACCATTGATCGAACCCATCTTACCGCCACATTTTTCTCCTTTCCCATTATATTTGGTGCCGTACGTGCCATGCCCTGGAAGTGACAGGTGAAAGACCTACCAGGGAAGAACCTGGGTTGGTGTTTTCGGGGACCGAAGACCTTTAAGGAGGGAGAAAAGTGGCAATCAGTTGGGTTTGATCGCTGGTGGCCAGATAGCTCAGTTGGTAGAGCAACGTACTGGAGATTCAGGGGGCCTGGGTTCAAATCCCGGTCTGGCTCCGGGGCCATAAAACTTAAACGAGCTCACTTTTGATCTCAGTCTCACTTTTACCAAAGGAATTAATAGTGGAAAAGTCACACCAAAGGAATTAATTACCAAAGGAATTAATAGTGGAAAAGTGAGACTGAGATCAAAAGTGAGCTCGTCTAAGTTTTATGACCCGGAGGCTGGTCTGTCACATTTTTCTCCTCTCCTGTTACAGATTGATTCCTAAGAAATTTAGGAACTTCCGAGGGATCAATCTCCTAAGCAGTGGGCATACAGACAAGCTTGTTAACCAAAAGTTATGCCTTTATAAGTATATTGATGAGGATTTATGAAATTTATAGCCAAAATAAAATTTTTCTTTTTTTTGCACAGTAAATCACAAAGCCCACTGTCTTTCCATCTGCTATGTGCTAACTTTTTCGTGTTTGGGTTATATTTTGCACACCGTGAGGCTTAGGACCATCAACTCGATCAGTTGATGCAACTTAGGGGGAAGGTGTCATGTGATCCATAAGAAGGTTACCATATCCTCCTTTTGGAATTTTTGGGCTTTGCATAGTCAAATCATGCCTGGATCATACCTTGTACACTGTGAAGTCTAGATGATTATCTTAGCTATAATTTTTTTTCCAGGGTCAGGATTTTCTGTGCCACTATGGGACTTTGTAGGAACTACTATGGTTACAAATAATTATGTACGATTAACACCAGATTACCAAAGTAGACAAGGAGGAATATGGAATACTTTAGTAAGTTAAGTATTTAATCAATACATTTCATAAATATTGGGATTACTACTTCTTTAATGCTGTTTAAATTCATAGTTTCTGAATTTTGTTTTTTTATTTACCAGTTTGCTTTTATGAACATGTTTATTTTATTCATGTTATTCAGTGGCGGATCCAGAAGTCCACGTGGGGGGGGGGGGGGTGTTTGAGGCCCGTAGGGCCGAAGGGGGAGGGCATGGAAGGGGGTGTCCCCCTCCCATAGGTGGGGGTTCGGGGGGCCTCCCCCGAGAAATTTTCTTTAAAAATGGCTCCAAATGGTGCATTTTCCAGCATTTTAGATTGAATTAGTTAGTTTTTGGCCACTTTTTTCCTAGTTGTTTTTCAAGACCGACCTACCCAAATTTTCAAGAAATTGAACAAAAAATTTTAATTTTGGGATTATTTTTAACTTCCATGTTAACTTGAAAAATGAGACTTTTCTAAAGAAAAAATTAAATGTAAAATCTGATAAAATTAGAAATATCGCCATTTGCTACCGGTATATAATATCCAATTTTCATTTTAAAATGCACGTCCAACACACTGTCGCATGTGAAGCTTTGTCTACCAAAATACAACTGCATGATGTGCAATTTTCCAACACTTAGAACATTCGAATTCTGTGTAGAAACCCTAATTACTCTTTTCAACTACTTGACTATACTGTTCATATAATTTGCAATATATACACATAATGATATTTCATATTGAAGAATAAATATAAATTATATTGGAAAATAATTGGAATTATTGCTTATTCATTGGGGGGAGGTAATTATAATTTCTAACATAAATGCACTCTTTAATTCTATTTTTTTTTACCCACTTACCTGCCCAATGTTTGAAAAAAAAGTCTTGAAAAACAATCGATAAAAAAGTGGCCAATTCTTGTTTTGACAGGACCTCCAATATATACGTATTAGTTTTACCACAATTCATTATACAAAGTTGTAACCGTTAGTTGGGTTTTATTCAACATCATTCAACTGTAATTTTAAAAAAAATGCAGATCTTTTGCTTTTTAAAATTGCATTGTAACTTCCATCTACAAAAGGAATACTTTCAATGTGCTTTTTGGTACAGGTCACAACGTATTTCAACTAGTATATGTCCCTGATGTATTATTAATTAATTTGTTTTCTATTAAATAATAATCACAGTTTATTCACGTAACATTCAATTATCCAAGAAAGAAGAAAATTCTCGAAACAATATTACTTTAGCCAAAACAAAACCAGTGTATGACGTTGCGTCATCACTAGCTGCACGTACTATCATGATCTCTGCATGTACAGTACTGTTGATTACCTGTATAATGTGTGCGCTCAAGCGGATAGGGATTTCGCATGGTGACTGTATATTTCACCTCTTCGTGTAAAACAATGGGCTTGGATAGAGTCGCATTTATGCAATATATTGTTAAAATGACACTTGTAAAAAAAATTTTTTTGATCGAGCGTGGGGGTTTTCCCGAACCCCCCTGAATCCGCCACTGTTATTCATACTGTATTACACTTGTAAAATGGCATAGTTAACTTATTTTAATGAAATTAAAAAAAAAATAAAGATGATAAAGTAAATGCAGAATTCCCAAAAGATTATAAAAATGCACAGTTTTGTATTTATGGTATTTTTCAGCCGTTAATGGTAAAAAATTGGGAATTACATGTCCATTTTAAAGTGCATGGCAGTGGAAAGAACCTGTTTGGAGATGGTTTTGCAATATGGTACGCAAGAGACAGAAATCAATTAGGTAAATTAATCTTATATGTAACACTTGCTTAAACTGCTCAGAAAATTAAGCTTATTGCATTCATGAATAACATTCTGATGTAATACTATTGTTTTGTAGGTCCAGTATTTGGAAATAAGGATTTTTTTGTAGGACTAGGAATTTTCTTGGATACATACAGCAACCACAATGGACCTCACAATGTAAGAATGAGTTGTTCTTTGTCATTTTTATAAGTTTGTTGAAGCAACCACTTTTCCTTTAAGTGTAACACGGACAGATAAAATGCTTTAGTTGAGAACTAGGATTCAGGCTGCCCGAACTCTAGGTAACTTCTTTCAACTGAAGTATCTGCACATGGCAAATAACCTTGCCAAGCTGCAACACAAATTGTGGAAAAAAGATCAAAGACTGCAGTATTAATTATGTGTTTAAAATACACAAAAATAATCTTCAAGCTGAAAAAAACCTTTCAGAGTGAAAAGACAGAACCTAAAGTTCATGTAGCGGAGGAATGTGGCACAAAATATTGCTAACGTTTAGAACTTTTCTTTTCATCAACTGGTCAGCAGATGCATTATGAAAGCAGAATGTTTCATAGAAGAATTGTAGAGAAGAAGTTATATGAATTTTAATGAAAAAAGAAGTATTGTCTTTAGTGTAGGAATCATTTGAGAATAGATTCTTGATGTTAAGACAAAAATTCCAAGAATTACATCTAATAGGTAATAAATAGGGTAATTGCATTTTAATGAACAAGAATTTGAAAACTTGTTGCAAATTACGTAAAATGCATTCAAAAAGGCAAATTTCCTGAAAAAATTCTTTTTTGTCTTTTTCAGCATGAACACCCATACATTTCTGCCATGGTGAATAATGGGACATTACACTATGACCATGATCGTGACGGTACACACACAGAGATAGCTGGCTGCGAGGCTAAATTCCGCAATAAAGATTACGACACTTATGTAGCTATCCGATACCAAGACGAAACACTTAAGGTGCCACTTAAACTCCATGATATTTTAGTAAAGTGTACAATTGATGGAGAAAATTGCAATTAACAAGGTTTTATCAAATGTTATTAAGGATAAGCTTCAATCTTCAGTCGATACTAAAGAAAAAAAAAGATATAATTTCAATATTTTTACTCTTTTTATGTATAATAAGTAATTTTACATTGGAAAACATGGTATCCTTTAAAACTGATAATTTTTGAAGGACATATATAACAACAATTTCTCCCTGAACAGGACCATTCTGACTTCCTGCAGCTGAATTGTGGAGACTCAGAATTGTTGAATTTGTTATTTTAGGTTTCCACAGATATAGACAATGAAAACAAATGGAAGGAATGTTTTGTTGTCCATGGAATCAAACTGCCAACAGGGTATTATATTGGTGCTACTGCTGCCACTGGTGAATTAGCAGGTATGTACTGACAAGGAAGTGGATACATCTTATTAACAATTACCTGAAATTATATGTCATGTTTAATGTTTTAATTTCATATTTGGACATGCATTTTATAAAGGTGAATAAAGCAATGCATTTCAAGTTTCTTTTTTTAATTCAGAGCAGACTGTCTAGATATGTACATGTATATATATGTATTTTATTTTTTTGCAGATAATCATGATATTATTTCTATGAAATTATATGAATTAGAATCTTTAAAGAAGGTAAGTAAATATATTTAAAAAAAAAAAAGAAATTTAAATCAGCAAAGCTTTCTGAACTGCATTAACAGTAAAATATTGAAAGTGGAATGTTATTGAACATATTTTAAACTTCACCAACAATAGGTAATATTTCCACACTTTTCATTTGATGCTTTTGATTTTCAGGAAGATTCTTCGGAGTATACAGGGCTGCCATCTGCTCAGTTCTTTGCCTCTCCCAGAGGTAAGTACATGTTACATATTCTTATAACCAATTTCCATATACATGTATTACATGATTGAGTCATAGAATAAATTGTTATCAAATGCTTTGGGTTCACATCATGATAAGTTAAAGCTGACAATCTTTTTGCAATGATTTAGATCTTTACTGGAACTTTCAGCTTGACTGATTTTGACTGTGTCTTATGTTGAGCTGTCGTGAAAATGAAGATTTTGTAAAATCAGTGAAATTCATTTAAATGATTTATTATATTCTCATGGATCTCATTTTTTTTTTTAGATCATGTGGAGGACCCAAAAGGTGGTTTCATGTCAGGCAGTATGTCTGGGTGGAAAGTGTTTATCATCATCGTCATAGCAATCATTGGTTTAGCCGTCTGTGGAGTGGTGGGCTATGTGGTATTCAATAAAGATGCTGGCTTCAACAGCAAACGATTCTACTAATTCTCTCCTGTAATTGGGAGGGAAAAGTTCAAAGTGCATTATCTTTAAATCTGCATTCAAGACATTACTATGTTTTAATTTTGCAGCACATCTTAGTACTGTTACTTGATGATATACATTAATATTATGTCTTTATGCAGCAAGAAAATAATTTGTACATATTTGGTTTTTGGGGTTTACGTCAGCTGGTTTTCATAAATTAAGATTTGCAACTACTGACATTCCATACTGAATACTGTAGTCAAATATCTTTTGTACACCAGTTTTATATACCTGCAGAAGAAAACTCTTTTGATGTTAAAGAAAAGATAAACATTTTTCTTTTGTAAAATACTGTGTAATACTTAATTGCTTGTACATACATGTAATACATGTATGTATGGTAATTTTGTCTCTTTAATGATCTTGGAAATCCCTTTCTACAAATTAGTTTGAACGACAACTTTTAATTTTTGTGAACATGTTGTGATGCACAATTTTCATGTGCAATATTGCACAGTTTTCATGTGCAAGATGTGAAATTTTGTGTTAACAAATTTAATTTCTACCATGGCCATGCTGAAGAGTTTTTACAATTTTTCATCGGAGCCTTTCTTTATATTGCATTGTCACAAATTAATGCTCTTCATATTTAATTTTACCATTTATTGAAGTTATTAAAACTTAATCAAAATACCTTGTATTTCAAATTATAAAGTCTATAGAAATCTTTTCCTACATAAAACTACTATACATATATTTGATACTTGCAATAAATGTTGTTTAATGAAAAACCCATCCACTTACAAAGTCAGAGAGCTGTTTTGTTTTTTTTTAAATTCCACCCATGTTTGTATGTATTCAAGATAGTTTTACGCATTTTAAATTCTGTTTAAATGCAAATGTAGGAAAGCATGTGGATTTAAGCATTCATTCAGTTATATAAAAAACTGAAAAGATTGTAACCAACCATAGTCTTGATGATAAACATAATGTTATAAAATATTTATGTTAGTCCAATCATCATTGATCAAGTTTTTTTCCATGTTCAAAGTGAAAGCAGTACGTAAACTATGTTATTATGTCACATGATTGTTCTGATCTTGTAACATGCCAAGTTGCAAATTTAGGACATGTGAAATTGAAAAAAAGTCCTCAATTTTTTCTACATTTGATCATCAGTAAGCTTGCATGTACTTTTGGGGATTGGGGAATATTGTTCACTTTCTGATAAAAACCATTATTGTTTGTGAGGCTTGGGAAGCTTTTACATTGATAGTCTTGGCCAGAAAATGACCGGTTAACAGAAGAGTGTCCTTTCCAAGTTCTTTAGTTCTTTTGTTTTTCAATTGTTTATTTCATAAAAACTCTACTCTTATAGAAAGACATGTTTGGTTGTATAATTATGTATTAGTTTTTGATTAGCTTTGTTTTGATGTGTGTACAGTACATGCATATACATGTACTTAAAATTTAATATTACATCAGTACATGTACTATTCAATCTTGTGCCAATATATTTGTAAAATCATTATAAACAGTTTATAGCAAATATACAGGTTAAGAGTATGGTTATATCTAATACAATATTTTTGAAGAGTGAAAATTTTGTAGTTCAATACAAGATTAACATAAATATGTATTCTGTTATGTACATGTTTGTACCGGTATCTGTTAATGCATGTATTATGCATGTTTGTCTGCAAAACGTGTTTAAAAAAAAAAACTTGAGAAAAATGAATTTACTAATGTCTCAATATCATTTCTAATGTTGCATGCCTGAAAAGTTAAAAACTTTTTTGTATGAATTAGATGAACTTGATTTTGGTGATGTATAAATGTGGGAATAAGGGACAATGAATAAATGAGTCATGTGTTGTAGTTTTCTACTTGTTTAAAAACTGAATGGAAGTATGAATTAATCATATTGATTGTGGGAGAAAAATTTGATGAATAAATCTAATTTGTTTTAGAGAAGTGTTTGCTTTTCATTAAAATTCTTGGAGTGTATGGGCAATCTGGTTCCTAGGTAAGATAATGAAACAATTGAATGATGTATGTAGTTCAACGAGTGTCTGTTGTTTAACTTGTCATATTTTAATTTCAGCTTTATATCCAGAATCAGTTTCAACCAAACTTGTTACAAAGCATCACTGGAATAGCCTGAGGTCAAAGTTTTAGGGAAAATTCTTAAAATCTTACAAACAGTAAGCCAAGCTACTAAATTACATACATGTAATACAAAAACCTCTCATACAATACATGTGGTTAGTTTTTGATATTCATGATTATTAATTTATTTCCCATGGGTCAACATATTGGAGGTCAACAATTTCAAATTCAATATTAAACCAATTTAAGCTTGTCATTATGGCCATGTACATTATGTAGGTGTAGATAACATTGTTTTTTACAGGATACATGTTAAAATGTCCTTTAAGAATTTCAATATTATAAAGATTCTTCCAAATGTCTAACTTTGCTTAAAGAAGAAAAATCAAAAAGTTGCCCTCCAAGATGGCAGCCAAAGGTAAAAGCTTAGAGGGAAAATACTATCTGTCAATATGCATGAAATGATCAAAACAAAGCTACAGCCTAGATAGACTGACGGATACACAGGGATGGTGATGCCCTTTAAAATTTATTTCCACTTAGGACTAATACATGTAGATGTGAACTGATAATAAAAACATACATGTATTTATCTGAGTGTATCATTTTATTTTCCTTTTGCTTGGTAATTAAAAGTAATGTAAAGGCATTACGGTATAATGTAAGTATCTTAAATATAAGAGAAATAAATAATTTTGGACGGAGTTTATAAAATAATGCATTCTGTAAGAGAAAATATAAATATTTCACATTTAAGTGTAAAATGATCATTGATCACAATCAAAACAAATATGTGTATATTGTATATACTGATAACAATAAACCTCAATGGTTTCTTCAACAACAACAAAAAAAAAAAAAATTATATCCATTTCTCAGAACATCTTATTGGTCACACTGAAGAATGGTTATACAATCCTGTCTAAATCTGTGCCACCATAAGATTAGGCAGGCCGTAACACACCATGTTGTACCAGGATCTATCTGGTTGAGGCTCCTGTTCTACTTCAGGCTCCTTCTCTGCTGGAGTGACCTCCCCTTGGTTTTCCCCGTCCTCTTTCGCAGTCTCTGGTGTTGGTGGTTTTTCTTCGGTCTCAGTTTTTGGTTGTTCTCTCTGATGAGGTGCAAAAAGCAAACGGACTGTTTCCCCAGTGGTTTTACCTCCCTCCAATAAATCTGCAAATGAATAATTAAAACTTACAACCATATTTCACTGTCCTTGATTTAATAGAAGGATATTAGTTAACAAGCCTTATTATCTGTATTGATCACTCGAAAACATGAATGTACTTGAGTCACCCTTTAAATCTGATCAGAAAAAACAATGGATAATATACTTAAAGTAAAAGAAATGCAAATTTTCACTGCTATTGGAAAAAATTACTTTATTCACTGACTGAGAGTACCGTAATTAAAATCTTCAATGAATTTAAACATGCAATGTCCTTAGACTCCATGAAAGAATGGCTGCATCATATTTTAAATGTGAACAAGGTTTTCACTTTCATACATGCTTGGAGATACACCTGACTTATTAAACAGACTTTTTACGTCATTTTCACAAATAACAGTATACTAGTAAGTTCCACCACATTTTAGCTAATATCAATGTAAAAGAATGCGGATGTTGAATGGTCTGCAAAGAGGGGTGGGCAAACCATTACATGTATAGTGCTTTTTGCGATGGCATCATCAAAATGAAGTCTTTCAATGACACACAGTGTACATATACTTTATCCCAACTTCAAATGTTGTTGACAGAATGTTCGAAAGACCACCCATGAAGTGGCAAAAACTTTGTAAAATTGGCTGAACAGCACATACAAAAGTTTGGACAGGCTGGAAAGATTGAATGTATTGTAAGTTCTTCTTGTAATGTTGGAAGAATGTTCTCAAAATCATTAAATTTTGATGCATTATTTCTTTTCTCTTTCAGTATACATTTACACATATATAATTTCAAAAAGCTTATGAAAGCTCATGAAATGCATGAGACTAAATAAATGACTCCCTGAACGATAAATAATCAATAAGAAAGTAACTACAGTTGTATACATTTTCATCTTTGCTTGGCAGTCAAAAATTCAGTATATAAATCTCATTTCTAGGCTATCTCCCTCTGACTTACCTTTCATGGACACTTTAAGTCTGTCAGCATTTTCTGCCAGGGTACAGTGCCATTGATTGGACATTAGACATTTTACTCCAGTAAGACTAATTAACATGGCTGTCTCAACTGGCTTCTCCAACGAAAGAATATTCTCACTGAAATGAAAAGGGATTTTGTTTAACATTACATAATGTTTAACATTACAGATTTTCTCATAAATTTTGGAACCTGGATAATTAAAGCAAAGGTTCATGATTAGACAAAACCAACCTCTTTCTGACATCCAGTTTAGATTGCCTTGTGAAACTCTTGCTTGTTTCAGCCATATCCAGTGAATATATTATAGAGCAATCTAGAATAGAAAATGGCAGTAGCTGAGTGACTTCGTCATATCCAAATTTTGTATGAAAAGTGCAGTTATCTAAATAGAACAACTTGGACAGTACACCTTATAGATACTTGAGAAAATCTATTTAAAATATAAAAATACATTTGATTCAACACTCATTTTAAAATGACCTTTAGTAGTTCTATAAAATATTAAGTACATCAATCCAGGTTTTACAACATCAGTGCATATAGTACAAAGTTGGGCTATACATGCAATTAATGAAGGTATTTTTATTACCGGACTAAAATCTTGCCATAAATGACTAATTTGGCAGATTTTTGTTCTAGAAACCTATATTTGTTTACCCACTATGTATATACAGAGTATATACATCTATCAATATTGATTTCAGCAGTATACCTGGAATGTTTAAGGCTGAGAGTTTGGCAGGTGGAATGTAGTTGATAAACTTCTCCATTCCATAGAAGATAAAGGAACTGTTGTCTGTGAGGTAAATCTCCCACTCACCAACACTACAACAAAGGGCAGTAATATTAATGTGAGGACAGTAGTAATTGATCATTTCCCTCCTTAACATAATTAATATACAGTCAAGCCTTGTTAATTCGGACTCCATTATCCAGAGGCTTCACCTTCTGGATGAAATCTGTGGAGGAAAGGAATCTAGATTATAAAAAGAAGTCAGATCAACAAGACTCGACTTCACGTACATGCCAGTATGCAACTATAAATAAGGATTGAGCATAGCTTTCAATGTACATCTAATAAGTAACAAAAGCTGCAAGAATATACCTTGAAACATAAGAGTAATACATGTAGACACCTATTTCTAACTAACATTATATATTAAATTCAGCTAGAGAAAATAGAACCACAACAAAACAAACCTTGGTGTATGATCATCTCCTGGCACACCCAGCCATCTTGGAGTAAACTGTTGTTCATATTCCTCCATAAGCTTGTTGAATATTTCAATTGGTTTATTAACCTCTGCAAGTTTGAAAGAGAAAAAAAGTCAGAAATAGGCCTACATTCTTAAGTTACTGATTACTACAAGAACTAATTATTAGAATGTATAATCACTTAAGAAATTTAATGAATTTAGATTAACAATTTCTTCTTTAATAGAAATTTGCTATTTCTCTTACACCTAAGCCTCCCTAATCTATTTCTGTTTCATTGGTAAAGTAATGAATTGAAACCAACCTGTTTCTGCACAATCCAGATGGGAATCCACAATGTCTATTTTCATGTTAAAGACATAATGTAACAAAAGTCTCTATCATCACACAAAAAGAATCATGCAATTTGATGTACAAGATGAACTTTAATCATACCAAGTGAAAAATACTACATATTTCTGATTTTTTTTTTTTTTTTTTTTTATAATTATCAATAATTATCAAAAGATCTACTTGTACCTGCCACTGAGGGATTTAGCTATGCTACTTTATAAAACCATCCAATACAGTTACAGTTATAAAATGCAAATAAATGTATGCTTTTATCTAGATTTCTTTGAAGTATGATTAAAGACATTAGATTTGACTGCAATAATTCTCAACAAAAGAAGGATACATCTGAAGTTCATGGTATCCACAGTGTGATGCCAAGGTTGTAAATCTCTGTGTAATGGAATCTGTAATGTATTCAAAATTCTTTTCAATTTGACCCATTTCATGGAACACATTGTACCAATATAACATTACTGAGCATGATGTACCAGTATAAATGTTATAAAGTGAAGTATTGTCATTTAAACATGAATTTCTTTCAGTAGTTATAGCACTGTTACTTCTTTGGCATATTGTTTTCAGTATAGATTTTCCAGTTATTTGTGACGTACAATCTTAGCCTGTTTTTTACTGGCGTCCCTGAGTCCGGGTATTCTAGACAAGGGATTGTCCTGGTTCTTAGCCTTCTGTTTCTTCTTCTCCTCATTTTGTTGTTCTAAAAATAGTAATAAATATACTTGATATGATGTACAGCAATACTAGTGAGATTATCTCTTCAAAATAAATTGTAATTAATGTCTTCTCCTCCCCTTGAAACAAAAAAAAATTATCATTGGAAAGTAATGAATAAACATTTCATAAAGTGTGTTTATTTTGATAGCAAATACTTCTTTTCAAAATACTTATAACTCAAATTTTGTCTTTCTTTTTGTAAAGAGTTAAAAACTGAAAGAAACAAATTTCTAGATTTGTAACATCATTGTTAATCTAAGTCCATATTTTATAACTTTGTAGCCTAACAGTTCAATACTGAAGATTTATCCAACTAACAAAAATGAAGACTATAAACTACAGTAAAATATACTAAAATCTACAGCTACAGTAAAAATCTTAAGCATCTTACATTACTTATGGGCCTTTTTTATGAAGTGATATTCTAATTACATGTAGTGGTGAAGAATGAAATGCATCTATAGAATGTCCAAACTAACAAAGGACTCTACACGAAAACTGTTCCTAAGAAATCTGACGCAAGAATTTGCAGGCAATTTAAGTAAAAATTATATAACTGAGTGAGAAATCTCTCCAGATATACAATACACTTTCAAGTGTGCATGCTCTATTTACTGGAAGCATTATTTAACAAAGCTTTTAGATTCCTAATGGCATTCATAAATACATATTATAAATTATATTATTTCACTAGATTTTTCAAAATTCCAACTTCATATAACCATGCTATATAAAAGCTAGTTGTAAAGTTAGAATAAAAAGAGAAAATATCCAAGAATCTGGAGTCTACAGAGTGCTTAGTATGGCTACCTGACTCCACAATTTTTCCAGTACGAGAGGCGTTAGTTGGCGTTTTACGTTCTGAAAATCCAAGCATTCATTGATACATTGACATAAAGCACATCAAAAGCTGTAATGTATATGCACACCAATACACCAAGATATATATATCATAAAAATAGCAGATTTTGTAAAGAATGAAAAGTCTGAATTTGCATCGATCCAGTCAATATTTTACACATAATGTAGTTTAATTAAGGGAGAAAAATAACACCAATGGCAATCAGTTACTATTAAAAAAAAAAAAAATTTCAAACAAGCATGAATTATTTTGCATATGTTTTCAAAATAGTTCAAAAGATCATAGTTTACTAATCTTTAAGCACCACATAAATTGGGAAGGCATATTTCTAATCATTTCACAATTTTAAACTTGCTGAGCTATTTCATTGGCATTTTTCTCCCTTTTCTGCAGAAATGTTAAAAGAAACCTGACTAATAATTCACAGTTAATTTCCAGATGGGGTTCAGAGAAAACAATCAGTAAACACTATAACATTCCGATTTTACTTTATTTTACTAGCCACATGAATCTTTATCCTGACTGATTCCTTCATTGGCTAATACAATGAATTTTGACACATGATGTCTACAATATAAAATATAGCTATGGAAGCTAAAAAGCTACTGAGAATAAAGTGACCCACATTACCAGTTGGTTTATGTTTACGAGATCCTTGTAACTGAGAATCTACAGAATCATTTAGACAATTAAGATGTTGATTAGTTATAAATTAAAAGATTCTATCTTAGTTCATATAATAAACAGTGTATACCAGAAAACCCATCAACAACTGATACAGAATACATGGCAGTTATATCTACCTACCATTAGCCATATCTTTGAAAATTAAATGAAATGGAATTTACAAACATGGAAGCATGCAAATTTCAAAGCTTTATAAATTAATAATTTACAACACATGGTTGATTGCTGTCAACAAATACAATGGAAGCAAATAACACATACTCATTAAGCTTTGATATGTTTAAAATATCCTTTGATTCGAGCTTTATGTATGAATTTTTAAAAACATATTTTTTCAAAATTTCTTTCATTGATGACAAATTATGCAAATTGACAAAGAGCTCATATTCCACTCAACCAGAACTCAAAATCTTTGATCCACACCACATTTTCTTTCCCCGATTCTCACCTGTTGCTTCATCCTTGTAGAACCTATGATGAAATAGAGACAGAGAGAAGTCTCTACACAGGGCTGTGACATTCTCCACCTGTAGGAACTCCAAGGCCTCCAGTGGCATGTGCATTAACATGGAGTCCACTAACAGAATAACATATTCGTGGGGAGGGGCTTCGGACTGCCCCTTGTTGTCTTTATTAGTGCTGGTGGGAGTTACCACATGGGGCCTGAAATAGTTTACATTTCAACAATGTTAAAAAAACTACCTGTAATTTTATATAAAACTATACAAAAGCCTTCCAGTGCAGCATCAATATTTGATGTACTATGGAATATTTCTTATATCGTATAAGTGGAAATTTTAGCGAAACGCAAATTTAACGATTTGTCCTTAATATTCAGTATTTAATTTTAACGACAAATAATTTTTAGTGATTTTATGGTGCATAAAAAAAATAACAGTAACCTTCTAATGCAGAATAAATTGTTAGCAATATTTAATTTAAGCTATCTCAACACCCTCACTAAAAATGCCAAAATTGAATTCTCGCTAAAATTTCTGCTTTTACAGTACATTGCAACCTCCTAGGTCAGATTTTGTTTAAACATTTTACTGTAGATCATAGACTTGTTAACTCTTGATAGATAATTTACTTAGATATTACCATCACTTGAAATGAGGAAGACTGAGGGACAAAAGATGACTTACAACAGAAGCCCCTCAGCTTGGAGGTGAGGGGATTAAGCTACGACATATGTCAGAACTCCCACTAGCTGGGAGGTGAGGGGGTTTAAGCCATGACATATGTCAGAAGTCCCACTAGGTGGGAGCTGAGGAGTTTTAGGTTATGACTTACATCACAAGTCCCACTTGGTGGAACGAGAGGGGTCTAAGGTAATGACCTACATCAGAAATCCCACTAGGTTGGGTGAGGATTTAAGATAATGACTTACCTCAAAAGTCCCACTAGGTGGTAGGGTTAAGATGTTGTCTTATGTCACAAATCCCACTAGGTGGGAGGAGAGGAGTTTAACATAATGACTTACATCAGAAATCCCACTAGGTGGAGGGGGTGGGGGGGGGGGGCATTGAGTTTTAAGATAAGATGATGACATATATCAGGAGTAAATGAGGGGTTTAAAATAATAAATTACATCAGAAGTCCAACTGAGAGGTTAAAGATAAAGATTTGCTTCAGAAGCCCCACTAGGCTGAGGGTGAGGGGTTTAAGATAATAATTTATGTCATAAGTCCCACTAGGTGGGAGGTTACTGGTAAGGCATGAATTATGTCAGATGTCCCACTAGCTGGGAGGTGAGGGTTTTAAGATAATGACTTAAGTCAGAAGCCCCACTAGCTGGGAAGTGAGGGTTTTAAGATAATGACTTACATCAGAAGCCCCACTAGCTTGGAGGTGAGGATATTTAGATAATGACTTACATCAGAAGCCCCACTAGCTGGGAGGTGAGGGTATTTAGATAATGACTTACATCAGAAACCCCACTAGCTGGGAGGTGAGGGTATTTAGATAATAACTTACATCAGAAGCCCAACTAGCTGGGAAGTGAGAATTTTAAGACAATGACTTACGTCAGAAGCCCCACTAACTGGGAGGTGAGGGGTTTAAGATAAGCCTCCATGTCCTTGAGGAGATTTCTGAATTCTTCCTGAAGTCTAGCCTCTTCCTCATGATCTTTCTCATCATGCTGATGCTGAAGAAAACAGAAAAAGAACTGATGCTTAGTACATTTCCTATTCATTAAGAGTCTGGTGATAATTATTTCATTTTTTTTTTGGACAAAATGGTCAAGTTTGCTTTTAACACACTCCATATGACCATTAAAAAGATATGTTATCTTCAAAAGAGAATGGTGCATAACAATATCAATCAAAATTAATCGAATTCATCTCAAAATAATCATTAAAGATATCTTGATAATCAGTCAGATGTGACTTAAAATTGTCATACGTGTGTTTGTTTCTTCAGACTTTCGTCTAGATTTTCCAGCATTTTCTGCCTCATCATGGCCTGAGAGCGTTGATACTCCTGCTTCAGAAGGAACGTTTGGACACTCTGATGGTGGTCCTCAAACTTATTCAGCAGTTCGTTCAGAAGCTGGGGACTTGTTTCTGCTCCAAACACCTTAGCTCTACTATGTGCTACAAAAGTAAAATGGTTATGTTTTATCTGGTCAATGAAAGGGAATTATGTATATTTTTGAACTTATTTTAACACAGCACATGTACATTTACAGTTCCTTTTCTTTCTTTCTTTGTTGTTTAATGTCCCTCTGGAGAATTTTTCACTCATATGGAGACATCACCACTTGCTGGTGGAGGGCTGCAAATTTAGACTTATACTCGGCACTCAGGGCCATTGAGCAGCCACAGATCTTTTTTGTGCCAGCACCTACTATGACCTTGGTTTAAACAACAATTGTTGCAACCACTATTGAAATAACGACCACTATTGAAATAATTATTTCAATAGTGGTTGAAAGTGCATAAACTAAACACTGGTTGTAACCACTATTGAAATAACGTTTACTATTGAAATAATTATTTCAGTAGTGGTTGAAAGTGCATTTCAAACCAAAAACTGGTTGAAACCACTATTGAAATAACGTTCAATATTGAAATAATTATTTCAATAGTGGACGTTATTTCAATAGTGGTTACAAAATGCCTCTCAAAACCGAACACAGGTTGCAACCACTTTTGAAATACAATGTAACGTTCACTATTGAAACAATGATTTCAACAGAGGTTTTGAATGCTTTTTAAAGCTTTAACCAGGTTGCAACCATTATTGAAATAATGTTCACTTTTAAAATAAAGACTTGAATAGTGATGAAATAATGATTTCAATAGTGATTGAAATAATGATTTCAACAGTGATTGAAATAATTATTTTATGGCTGCTGACAATGATTTCAATACCAAAACCATATTGCAAGCCTTACTGAAATGACCCCTCTAATGAAAGAAAAATATAAGGATGACTTGTTCATTACGTTTTTCAACATAATAAATTAATTTATTGAGTTTAAATTATGATGTGTAAATTAATGTTTTCTTTTCCTTTCTAAAAATTACCATTAATATACGGACATCTATGATTTAACTGACGTACTTAAAATTAATACAAATGCAAATGTTTATAAGCAAGCTTCTGCTGAATCTGGCAGACTCGGCGAAAACCAACAGACAATTAATCAATATATGCAAGTTTTAAGTGATTTTGTTATATTTAAGGTTCATTTTGCCATTGATTTGGAAAGGAAAGGATCATAATTACAGATAGAGGTGAACATTATTTCAATAGTGGTTGCAACCTGGTTTCATTTCTGAAAAGCATTCAAAACCTCTATTGAAATCATTGTTTCAATAGTGAACGTTATTTCATAAGTGATTGCAACCTGTATTTGGTTCTGAAATGCACATTCAACCACTATTGAAATAATTATTTCAATAGTGAACGTTATTTCAATAGTGGTTACATCATGTGTTTGGATTTGAAATGCACTCTCAACCACTATTGAAATAATTATTTCAATAGTGAACGTTATTTCAATAGTGGTTACATCATGTGTTTGGATTTGAAATGCACTCTCAACCACTATTGAAATAATTATTTCAATAGTGAACGTTATTTCAATAGTGGTTACAACCAGTGTTTAGTTTTGAAATGCACTCTCAACCACTGTCGAAATAATTATTTCAATAGTGGTCGTTATTTCAATAGTGGTTGCAACAATGCACCATGCAGGTGACTTTCTTTTGAAATTACAAGATAATCCAATAAAATCTAGGAAACTGACTGGACCCAACAATATCCTCAGCAGAATAATCTTAACCTTTTGATGCTTTAAATATGAGTGTATATATACTAGATTATCTTAAAGATTTTCTTCTCTAATAAACAGTCATATCTATAATTTTGATCCTTTGACCTTGACTTCTAATAAAATAACCTTAAAATCAGTAGGTGTTTTCTTTTAACCATCTTTAACCTGTATTGTAAATATCAATTTATTTGGTTCAGAAGAACTCTCATTATGTCACAAAAAAATTCAATTATCTTGATCTTATGACCTTGACCTTTGTTCAATAACCCCCAATTCTTATGCCTCATTCATCCCTGTGTTTGAATATGAAGTCACATTGTTTAATGTAGGGCAATTCAGATCTTTTATAAAGTCTTAAGAATAAGGTTACCTGGTGGTGCTTGTTGTTTGGGGTTTTTGCCTCCTCCCCCAGCTAAGGCAGTGTTTTTGGGTTTGTCTAAAATAGCACCATACAAGAATGACCTACAACAAAACATTTTACATATTCAACAATGACATTAGTCAGGAAAACTATTAATTTAATTATTTTTTTATCTAAATTGTTTAATTGTCATATTTGATTGAAAATACATTTTTTTCATTATTTTGAGGCATGTCATTTTAGAACCTACTTGTCTGGAGAATGCTGGAGAATAATAAAATTGAAGTGAGGTGGGAAATCCTTGAGAAGTTCCAAATGATTGGTTTGTACTTCTAGATTCTTCCAGGCCTGCAATGAAAGAATAATTTTTCTAATTAAAGACTTACAATACTCAAATTAAATACATGTACAATATTTTGTATCTATGTTTATCCCAATCTTCATTTGTTTCAGAAAGCATAGCTCCTTTACATTTTCCCATTCCTCAATCTACATAAAAAGATCTACTTAATGGATAATGACATACCTGCCAGTTCTGCTCCAATGATTGAGTGACCGTTTTCATCATCTCACTCACTGACAGATTCAGACTGACTTCTTTGTCTAACATAGCTTTCCTCTGATGCAGCAGTGCAGCCAAGCGTGAAGTACAAGGATCCATCTGTGCACGTTTTAGCAGTTTTTCCAACTCCATTGATGCAGAACAGCTCTAAAATCAAACATACCAAAATATTATATACTTTGTGTTCACTCCAAAAATACAAGGAATATTCATTGAAGATCTCCTATTACACACCCTTAATATCAAGCTTACAATAAAGTATGTGTAAATCATATACAATACAATCTAAAAAATAAATATCTACTATTGAAATTAACATGATTAACAAGAATTTATTTACTTTCCTTAGCTCTGAATGTATAAACCTTCACAATTCAAAGCTTTACAGTATTTTACAGATTTTAAGTATTTATCTTTAGAAGCAAATGTTGTATGAAATCTAGTAGAGATTACATTTAAAACGATTTTTCCCTCATTAACGTACCTGATGTAATGCTAGGAAGAGACTGGCAGACTGGGGGTCATATTGTCCACAGCATTCTACCAGCTCCAAAGAGATACTGCCAGCAATGTCCTACACAATTACAAATGTAATATTGCAGTTTTTTATGATAGTAATCATTTGATACATGAACATAAATAATGTATAAACAAGGTCCAAAAGCATCTTCCTCCTAAATTGATTAGCCAATTATAAATAAGCGCACTTGAGTCTTAAAAATGACAAGAATAAGTAATAATGTATAATTATACTTATTACATAAACATAACAAGTATAATTAAATAATGTATTAGCATAAGCATGAATTAGCAGACATGAAGTAGTGCGAAAAGAGCTAAAATATGATCTCTGCTAAAATAAATACTTGTTTACAGTACACTTTAGTCACATGAGTGATAAAACACAAAGGCCATAAGAAGGCAATCAATTAGTTTTCCAAATTTTATCAAATGTTGCCTAATTTGCATCAAATTTTAGGTACTTCACAAGCCCAATATAGATTTCCACACAAGATGTATCTGTAACTAGTGCAGAAATAAGTAAATTCTGTTGGGAATTCATTGTCATATACACAGAATGTTTTAAGTGATGCAGCATACTTACAGAGAAGTGGTTCTGCAGAGCCACATTAAGTCCTTGTACAAGACATTCCGAAGCCTGGGCCAGATAGTGGTGGCATATATCATCATGTTTCTGGAAGTACACATAAGAAGTGATCTTTAAATCATTTCTATCAAGGTCTCTAAAAAAAGCTGAAATTTACTGGTTCTTTTTACAGTTGAGTTGTTTCATTATGGTAAAATGATTTATTACACTATATTGACCCAGAAAAACATCAGCCAATTTTGAAAAAAATATTACAAAAGCTATACTTGGATCTCCTACCTTGATTTTCTTGATCTGTTTGGTGTAGCGCAGGAACTGATTAGACTCCTGGTCCTCACTGCGTTCTGATGCCTGGTCCTCTGGATGCTCTATCCTGCTCAGCTCCTAGATACACACAAAACACATAAATTGCAGAATTAATGTCAAATAAATGTATTGCAGTTTATACCTACATGTACATAGTCTTTACAACTTTCTGAAATTATAAACTCACCATTTCATGTACCACCCATTGAGTTGGTGGATCAGGACTAGCATATAAGGCAAAGGCATGTAGAGTTTTTCCTACTCCACACAAAGCCTGTAAGTAAGTGGACAAACAATAATACAGTTATTCTCTCAAATAATTTTACATAAAATATGCCAATTGAAAACACATTCTTTGATTTACTATAGTTACTGTAGTTTACTACACTATTTTTTTTAATCAGGGTTGTCCATTCTTTGACAACAGAAACTGATTGACTTCTAACAAGAAATACAGTTTTCTACATTGATGCTCATAAAGACAGGACACCAGGAAGTGAGGGAAAAATCATTACAGCAGGATGCCTGGGGGTGTCGGAAGGCTAATTACAGATCTTTGTAGTCTTACCCTGGCCCTCAGCTTAAGAATATGTCCAGACATGTTGTGGGCAGAGACAAACTTCAGCAGGGCATCCTCAGCAATTACCCTTCAAAATAAGAGTTAATATATTGGTAGAAGATAAATCAATGTAGGTATTTGAAATTCAAAATACAATGTTAAAAAAGAGGTAATTATACTCACTTTGTGGCATCCAGCCATTCTTTTTCCATGTGAGAATAAAACTGTGGGGTTGTACTGATAAAGTCCTCCACCATCTTAAAAATCAAAAACATTGTATTTCTAAATGAATTTACTAGTACATTTTATAATCCTATTTTTGAAATGATTTTAATCTCCCTAGAGTTCTGAAGAGATATTTTTATAATGAATTTTTGGTGGTAATGCAATATGTTTAAAGGTGCAACCGTTGGGGCGAGCGCAGTTGTATTTATTACTGGATACCATCAAACACCTTTACATTTTACACTTTCTACTTCATTCCATCTCTTCAAACAGCACAAGACCAGTCTAGATTGTGATGTCACATGACGTTTGTTAATTGCACTTCCATAACAGAGTCTAAATAGTGCAATTTTTTAACAAAAGGCATCATAGAGAGGTGCAATTAGTTTTGTTTCCTTAAAGCTCTCAGTAGAACCCAATCTTCACAATAACTGCAGTATTGGTATATTCACTATCAATGCATAGAATTGTGGTAGCAAAAGAATTCTGAGAAGGTTTCACACCAAATTTGCTTGACGAATGTACAGATTTCAGTTTGAATTTTCTCTGTTCTTACAAAGTCTAAAGAGCTTGCTTTACTTCATACCACTCTTTGCACTATCTATTAACTGGAAAAAAATGTGTCGCCCAATTCTTGCATCTTCAAAATGATACACAAAGCCAATTCACAAGACATTCCTTCAATGTGTTTGATCTGATATACCAGGAGTATCCAGTTTGACTTTACCTTGACCACTGATCCTTTCCTGAGATCTTCAAGTTGTTGAGATCGAGTCTCCTTTGCATGAACTCTGAACAACTCAAGCATGACCTCTCCACACACAATGTACATGTCTGCTAGTTCCCTCTGGGTGGGCAAGCTTACGTTACGCACCTGAAATAAACAAAAATACTGAGTAAATATATGGCAATGCTTTGATTTCAGTTGATCTCAAATTCTTCTGTACTCTGCTTTGAATATAGTATATGTATTAACCTTAAAGGTCAAAACAAAACAAATTATTATAAAAAATCCCCAGTACATGTACTCTGTTTCTTTCAAAAAATAATAATAAAATAAAATAATTAAATGAATAATAATAATAATAAAAAGACCAAAGTTTCTCTATTTCTAGATATAATTTTTCAGTCACCTCTTGCAGTGAAGTGAGGGTTAGTGTATCCCAGAAAGTCTCCTCAGCCAGATTAACCCCCTCCTTCAGCACCATCATGGACTGTAGATAGTAGGTATGTATTATCTCCTTTTCTATTGAGTGTCTTGCCATGTTACACAGCACCATGGCATGTTCCTTCATCACAGGGAAAGCTTCTCTCTTGTAGCCTAACTTTATCAGTTTCTCTGTGGAGGACTCAAATTTCTACATGGAAAAGAACAAAAACATCTGCAATTTTCCTTCTAAAATTTACTAGTGGACAAGGACTTAATTTGAGAAGAAATCAATCCAAAATTTTCATTCAATATGAGGAAAATTTATGGAAGTATGAGCCAGTCTAGGAGAGATGTTACCTTTATAAAATTTTCATCTTCAGCAGAAATTGGCATTTCAAATTTTGCACCATATAATACACTACATTTGATTGCATCTTTCTCCACCTTCTTTTAGAAATTATCATCATTTAAAGAAAAACTAATTTCACTGAGCAGAGAGTTGTTCCCCCTGAAATTCCTGTATATGACTGACCTCACATGCAGCCAGCATTTTCTTCATGACTTTGGGATCATTGATGTCCTTGTCTCCACTGAGTATGACCTGTGTCTGGACACTGGCTAGTCTGTGAAAATGTCAAACAGTATTCATCACTTGTACAATATATAATTAGATTTTCACATATTGTACTAATCTATCAACCATACAGGTGAATAAAGTTCTGAATTTCTTTTTTTTTTTTTTGTCTGCCAAGACTGTAGATTTGTGATTTTCATCAGAGCCTTTTCTACTCACTTGGCCTCCAACATGGCAAGGATATAGATATTGACACTTGTTCTGTTTGGTCTTTCATCAGCAATTCTCTGGAACTCATTGATACTGTGAACAAGTATTCCTCTGGCCTGGTGACAAAAATTTCATTATTTTCACAATCACATACAAATACAGTGCCTGCATGACCAGGATATTTCCAGTACTATTGATTTATAAAAAAAAAATCAGTAAAACCATTTTGAACTCACAATTCTCTGTGCTTTACGATTCTCATAGTCTTTCAAAGTGGCCTCTACCATTAGCATACTTGTCTTGTACCAGAACATCTCATCACCATTATATTCTCTCTGTGTAGAGATATGTAAGCATTTTAGAGTTCTGTACAGATTGAATACAGTTGACAAAATTACAAACTTTTGACATTATAATAAGTTAACATAGAATGATTTTATTCATATTCAAATGAAATAAATAAAAGCTCTATATATAGTTGAATGATACAAACCTGTGCTTCGAGAGCTAAATTAAAAGCCTGCTTGTACTGAGCTTCCTCCAATGACAACTGGCCCAACAGATACAAGATTCTGCCTCGTAAAACATTGTCTTCAAAGGCCTGAAAAAATACAAACAATTATATCAAATGTATCCCAAATCATTATTGAAGATATGATATTCTGCATTTGCTGTTATAGTAGTATTAATTGTAACACCATATTTTGATTGCTGTGGTTCTTACCAGGGCTGCGTTATTGGCTTCATTCAGGAATTCCCTGGCACTCTGGTAGTGACACTACAATGATAAAATAAGAATACATAGTAACTCCTGACATCCCTTTGTAGACAGATCATAAAGTTCTGCATAGAATTTGTTTATGATAGTCTTACCTGTCTAATGAGCAGCTCTGCAGTGTCAGTCCATACATCTCTGTATGTAATGTTACCCAGAGTTTTACCAAGATGGGACTCGATTGTTTCCTCCTAAAAATGAAATTACTCAATATTTCACATTTGATTATCTTTTTTGCCCAGTCACCTGATATTGCCAACTGTTTGATCAGCTGATTTCCCTGATTATTCCCCTTTATTAAGATCTCCATTGTCTTACCTTGTTTTCTAGGAGGGATGTCCCTCCTTTGTTGGTTGCCCTCTTGGTCAGCTGACTCCCCCTGCTCTCCTCGGCTAGTTTGGCCAGCGACTCCTTTACCCTGGCTTCTTCTCTCTCCACCTGCATCTGTTTCTCCTTCCACAAGGTTATTTCATCTCTCGACCTAAAATGCAAAATAATAACACAGTAATTTCACTGTAAGTCAAATACACTGATCTGGTTTTAATCATCCAACTGAAGTAAAATTAAAACAAAAATCATAATATTTGCAGTAAGAGGTGCAGTATTCATATTTATGGCCATGCATGGTCTACTGGTTTATATCATAAAACATAAAAATGAATCTGAGTGTATAAATTGTATTTTTTCTTTCCATACACATTATAATGTCCTTTTAAACTAATACTCACAGTGCCTGATGTTCCTCATTCAGTACAACAGGACCTGCTGTTTTCTCATGGAAGTTGTATCCATTCTTCAAGTTCAACTCCAAACACACTTCAGCAGCCCTTGAAAAAAAAAAATGAAAATGTGAATGCCATTCTTTCAAAAATACTTAAAGATTTTGCTATGCCAACCCCCCCCCCCCCCCCCCCTTCCCCTTAAAGATTACAAATTCTTTGATAAATAGATCCGTTACAAAAAACTGAGACTGTACAGTCTGCTTACTTTGCATGAACTAGAACATGGAGGGGCTCACACTTCAGTAAATCTCTGGACATCAAATCTTCAAAGGCCAGGACTGGTAATGTCAAGTGATTGTAGCCAATATCCCTCAAACAGTTCACCAGAGTGTCCAGGTAGTACAAAGTCAGCATCTATGGTTGAAATGAAATGTAACATTAATATCAATCAAGAAGCAACATTTTCTTAAGATATCAGTCTAAAGACATTCAAGCTATTCTAACAAGATAACTGCATATCATATATCTGAAACAAAAATGCTTTGATAGTACGCTAAATTGTATAAAACTAATTGATGGTTATAAACAATAAATAACTTACCGGCTTCTGAATAGTATGGGAGTTAATGCCTGTCACCTTCATCATTTCATGATGGAATGCTTCAATAATCTATAAGTAAAACATTCAAAATTATTTAGATTGACCCCTTTCTTGTTTCAATAATCTATTTGTAAAACATTCAAAATAATTAGACTAACTGCCCCCTTTATGGCAATAGGAAAGTTTTCTGCAATATCAAAAACATTTTATAAAAAATGTTTAAAAAATGCACTGGAGGCAGTAACTAAAAAATAAAAATAAAGCTGAAACATTTACAAAAATTTGCAGTTTTTTCTTCTAACCATACTAACAATGAACAATAATATTGGGTATAACAGAGATATACAAAAACAAATAACTCTAAAACACTCACCTCATCAGGAATGTCATACTGTGCCCATTCCTCCACAGTGCTGGGCAGTGTGTCCAGTGGGCCCTTCCTCTTGGGCTTTTCTTTGACGGGCTCCTTTTTCTCATCCTTCCCACCCTTGCCTTTCCCCTTGGCGGACACAGCATTTTTATCTTCAGCTGCAGCTGGGGGATTTTTGGCAATTTCCTTCATCACTGGTCCAGATATTGGAACTGTGATCTGAAAGAAGAGTTCCACAAAATCTGTACACTTTTTAAAGCTGTATGTTTAAGAAGTGTCAGTAGTTTTGCTTTAAAAAGACAAATAAGAAAATTGAAGGGTACAAAAGTTTGATTATAAATGAATTATTGTTGGTTCAATAACAATGAAGTTTGTGTCTTTTACAAGTATTTCACTTGTGCAATATAGCAAACATTTTCTAATATATAATTGCTATACAAACCTGCCAAAGTCTAACGAGATAGGCATGGGCCATGAGGAGATAATCCTTGTAGTCTTGAGATGAGCGTCCAGCTAATTCGGCCAGCAGGACATGGGCCCTAAACAGGCCATCAATCTGTCGAACATCATCCAAGTCATTAATGGTCAGAGAAGGGTTGTTGGGCAGCACACCTGTATTAATTGAGGTCAAAAAAGCAAACATTATTACTCAATTATATTTTAAATCATACAATAATGAAAACTGGTTAGTGCTACAAAATTGTTTCAATATCTCCACAAAAAGCAAAATATTTTATTGAAGTAATGTTTTTTTTGAATACATAACATTAATTCATGTGTAATTCTTTTTAGGACTGAGTATAAAAAATAAAAGATGAATGAACTTCAAAATTGACAAATTATAAAGTTACCACTGACCAATGACTGCCTGTTTAGCAATAGGGATGATGCCTTCAGCCATCAGATCACTGTCAGCTTCACTGGTCACACTCTTACTGTCAGAGGCAGCATCAGATGATTTGTCCCCAGGGATGGGGGTTTTACTCAGGGTAGGCATTTGGGCTGGCTTAGCCTTGGCAGACCCCTTTCCTGGTCTTTTCTTGTCTGCCTTTCCTTTTGCTGCTCCTATTATGGGTGTAAATTTTTTTTAATCTAGAGACACTTAAAACATTACCTTTTTCCTTGGTTGTCATAAAAATGTGTGTACAAGGTATTATGTTATGTGAACATATTTTGATATAAAACCCTCCAACAAAATATGAATGATAAATTTTATTTTTACCAATACATGTACCTATATTTTATACTTGCCAAAAAAAATTAAAGTGTACTCATCATACAATTACAAAGTAGATAGTGTAGAATAATTGTTTTTAAGTGAGCACCTCATAGCATTAGATAAAAGAAAGTTTTGAAAGGGAAATGATGATATTGTTGATGACAACTTGTTGCTTAATGAAATATATTTTAAAGAATGAAAGAGTGCAAAACTTTCCACTGAGAAAAATGTGTTTCAGATTCTAAAAGAAAAAACGGGATATAGGGTGTAATGATAAAACATATTATAAGTGGTAGTTTGATTCTATTTTTATTTTAATTTATTTGTTGAATAAAAGTTAAATAAAACATATGGTTAACTACAGACAAATAAGAAAAAATAGATTCTATGCTACACAAAGTAAAAACAAAGATCTGAGATAGTGCTATAACATACTAGTACTTGAAGCATCAGCTTCTAATTAAACAAAAGATGTATAATTGTTCATTGTTCAGGGTGAAAAACAATAGCTTCACAACATAGTGTGCAGGGTACTGTAAAACTATTCATCTTGTTTACAATTCAAAATCACAAACAGATCAATGTGCACTTCTTGATGGCTACTTAAAATCATACAGAGTAGTCATGCACATATCAAATGTGTAATTGGATACTGCATGAAGATTATAAAGTTAACATTTTTTGACTACTGCAACTCTTTTGAGTACCGCAACTGTGAAAACTTATTTGATTTTCAATAAAGTCATGCAGTATCATACTCTGAAAGACAACAGCTAGATGTAATCTAATTTTTGGAGCTACATTTTTTTATAAAGAGTATGGGTATAAGAAAATACTGAATTCATTATCACTAAAAGGTTTGCTATAAAAGAGAGTGCAAGGAGTGAAGAGTGTGCATGACATTGACTGTGTACCTTTGCCACGTCTCCCAGCAGCAGAGCCTTTTTTTGCTGTGTATGACAAAACAAAACAAATCAGAACACCCTACCATGCTGTGTCATACTACATATCACATGTCTGTGATGCCAACATGTGCTGCATGCAGACATTTTCAATTTGTCTTTTCATCCATTTTAATACTCTAGTTAACAGACATATTTAGAGGAAAACTAAAAATAATAATTATGATCAATTTCTTTACATGCATCTTATTTTTCCTTTAAAATAAAAAAAAGAGCAATATTTGGCAATAGAGAGCAGAACTAGCATTAAAAGTCATAATATACATGTATATTATAAATTTAAAAATTCTCCTTCCTCTTTATTTGTTCTATTATAGAAAAAATTTTTATGTAGAAATTTCAAGCTTAAGTCAATGAACCAATTAAGATAAAAAAAAAATTATATCACAAATTTGAAACAGATGAAAGCCAAGCAATAAAAATTCTAGCCCATCCCTTGGATGCTAAACATTCTACACAGGAAACACACTTACGGGTAGATTTTATATCAACTGAAGACATTGCTGTTGTAAGGAATGTTACAAGTCAACAAAAATACAGAGAAATGTAACATTTTATTTGAATATTCAGGAACCTTTGTATTATTAAAGTTGTTTAATGTGCAAAAAAAATTTAACCACTTCTTTCTTTCATGATTGACTCCTTTGCAGCACGAAGTGCATTTTTTGCTGATTTTCTAATACCATACTTCAATCCATCTCCGATTAAATAAATAGAATACATGAGAATCTCTTAAGAAGTGTGTAATTCTCTGACCTGCTTCTGCCTCCTTTTTGAGATCAGTTTCTGTCTTCATGTTTAACATGATGTCCACTGCCCATTCCAACTGGTCAATAGCGTCCTGGAGGGGGAACTCATTGGAATACAGCCATTGTCCAAACTCCAGCAGGTAGTCCACCTTAAGCCACTCATTGCTTGGACTCTACAATGGTCAAGTGATCATATTTTATTAAAAATAATAGAGATTGATATGCTCTCTTTGAATGAAGAACATGTATTATAATATGAATGAATTAATATGAAATAATGCCTTTTTCCTTGCATAAAATCCTCATTTTATATAGGATGTTTTATATAGGACTATATGATGGAAATTTCGAGAAATGAGACAAGAATGACAGAAAAAATATTATTATCTTGGCTCATATCATCATTTAAAGTTATTAGTACTTCCATAAAACTTTGATATATATATATATATTTTTAAAAAGATATCATAGCACTTAAAATAAATACAATCATGTAGTTTCCTTACATTCAGGGCCTCAATGGCTGCCTGGTAGGAGATAAGCTGTTCAAGTGTTTCTTTTGAGCTCAGGGCAACCCTTCTCCACATGTGAGCTACATAATCCTCACTCTCATCCTGTGACAGAAAATCACAGAAAAATTACAAAATAAAATCAACATATAATTCATTGTACAGAACTACTAGTTATAGCATAGCCTGAGGTGTTGCATTCAAAATATAAATATTCAATATTTCATTCTTAAAAAAAAGAATTTAACATTAAATTAAATATTATTTTTTATCATTAGAAGTATTGAAAATCTATAGGATATAATACTGGCTTTTAATAAAAAAAATTTAAAATATTTTTTATAAAATTTAAAACATTTTATTAACAAATAAAAATTTCATGATTACACTAGTTTACAAATATTCAACTATTGCTTGGAAAAACTGAACTTATTGAAGCAAGGAGGAGGGTACATCTTCACATTACTCTATCTCTCTTTGTAAGCTTGTTTTTGATCCATTGGAATCTAATCTATAGATTTTCCAAGTACACATGACTTAATTTTGACAAATTTTATAGTGTATGAATGGCTTAATGCTTGACATTGTGATGAGAGTTTACAAAATAAATATATTCACAAGGAAGTTTGCAAAAGGCAAAATGTGGAGTTTTAAATTACATTATTTTGTAACTTTTTTATGAAAGTTTAATTTGTGTTGTTAATATCCATTGTTGTAGATAAAACATGTTCTGACTTGCATATTTAATACATGATTATTTGCATTTCTGTTTTCTCTTTGATAACTCTCTGAAAGTTAAGTGTGTTTAATGTTTTGATATTTACAATTGAATGCAAATTTCACCAAGTGAAAGGTCAAGTGTCTCATATGCATGCCAATTTCATGAGCTGTCAAGGTGTCTGACACATCAGAGGGCGGGGACTATGGAAATTAACATGGAATGCTTCATGTTTTTCATTTCTATTAGACAACATTTTTTATTTATCTTTGCATTTTTATTTCACATATACATGTAAATACATGTATGAACCACTGTCTAGTTTTTTTGGGTATGCCAGGGATATTAACAATAGTTGGATGTGGTGGATAATTTTATTAATTTAAGTGCAATGGGCAGAACTTTTTGAAGTGTGGGGTTCAGCTGAAAGTAGGGGTCCACAACATACTGTATGTGTACCTCAAAAAGCTGGCTTGATATTTTAGAGGCTTTGGCGCAGATAACGATGCGCTAATTCATGAATACCACAAAGAAATCATTTATAAATACAATATATGGTACGGACATGTATAGCGCTAATTCATGATTTTGCAAACAACTCCTTACAGAGTGATTGTGCTAAATTTTGAATACGCCAATTTATGTACACGTACAGTACTCTGGCCTCATATTTAAAAAAAAAATTTCAATAAAAATTTTAAACTTTCAGAAATGTATCCCTCTTCACTTTTGGAACATATACATTCTGCCTTTTTGAACTTGATATGTTCAAATTCTTGCGACAAAACTCGGGAAAAAAAGCCAAACAAGCCTTCGGGAATTTGTTTATAACTGGATTGTGCTGAGTGCATTGTAAACATTGACATTCTCTGGTGCTATAAGCAGTATATAGTTTTACACCATAATGTCAGACATTGCCGCATTTGTGTTTTGCTTTCTTTTAAAAATGTAGAAACTTCAAACGAAACTTTTTCATATTTTCTAAGCTACATGGGGAGACACAAAATTTGGAGGAAGGCAGTGTCAATATGTATCATAGCATCTGTGTTGTGTAAGCTCTATTATATTTACTGTCACTTAATCAAGCTACAATTTCTCATTCTTGTTTTGCTTTACCTCTTCCTGCAGATGCAATAAAACATCACATTTATTAGAATTAAATTAAAAAATTCATCATTAAAAAAGTGCTTAGTTCCACCCCCCCCCCCCCAATCAATGAAAGTCTGGCTTGAAATGTTTGTCAATTATCAAACCCTAATGATATATTTCTGAAACAGTGCATTAATCTTCAAATGTATTAAAAATTTAAGACAAACACAACCACTACTTGCATTTAAAAAATAAAAATAAAAAAATTATTAAAATCAATAGTTTATATAAAACCTGATAAAGCGAGACTCAAATCTCAAAATCAACATTGGATATAAGACACTTTAAGCATGGACCTAGTGAAATAAAGACACTTCTATAAACACTATAATAAAATATAACAATAACTTCCTGAAAATAAATCAATGCATCAAGTAACAAAAACTGTCCAACATTCTGTAAAGTAAATCCAGACAAAAATAATTTTTCAGATGAATTCACTTACTCTTCTTCCATAGAGCTAATATATCATAATATTTGGATTGAATGTTAAGTACATGTTAAATAGCAACAATACAAAATCTTTATTAATTGTGAAACATTGAAACATTTGAATTTCTAAAAACATCGTTGTAATTAGAGAGATTAGTTATCTGTGATGACTGAAGAATAAACTCTAATTATAGTACCTTGAATTTCTGAATATCCATGTTAACTCTTCGTCCTAGCTTTGCTTTGGTCATAACCCTGTGCTTAAATATCAGTCTACAAAAAATAGTTATTTGATTAAGTATATGATTTCTTTACATTTAATAACATCATAATCTCTGTAATGATTTTTTAGAATTAAAAATAGATCAATTTGACAAGGCAGAGCACTTTCATTTCAATGCCATGAAAATAAAGCAAAATATGTTTTGTTTCATTTAGAGTTCAGAGTTAAATCTACAATTTGTGCTTGATTCATAGTTTGACAATACACTTACAGTCTGTGCTTGGTCCGTGGCATATCATTAATGGCCTGGTCCATAGCTTGAAGGCCCTCCTCCCATTGTTGCTAATGAAAAAATTCAAAAAAATCATTGAATTTCAAAGTTAACTTACTTTTCTAATTCTTTATAGATTAAAAAAATCTTTCTTTATGACAATGTCTCCTAAAGAAAAGATACCAAATTATTTCATATAAATTCCCCATGAAACTGAAATCCCATGTCTAGTACATGCCATAAGTAAGACTTTGAACTAGCTTTCATGGGATGTTTTTCTTCATTACCTCATTCTAGGGATACTTTGTATGTGTAGGCTTACTTTGTCAGCATAAGACTGGAAAAGGACTCCATACATGGAGGCCCTCAGTGTCAGATCATCCTCTGGACTGCCAATCGTGGAACTTTTTGGTTTCTCGGGGGCTGTCTCCACACCTTGATCATCTTCTCCTCCCTCTTCCTCATCCTCTTCTGTCTTCTCCTGCAAGTAAGAGGAGAAATTAGTAGCCACAATTTTATCTAAAGATATGTTGAAGAAACTCAGTTAAACAAGATGTGTTTGTGAAACACTGATGCCCCTGTATGGCAACTCATAACAAAGGATAAACTTTCTCCAATGCAAATCAAATAAATTGGTACCCAAAGCAAGGTCTTGTCTCGAGGAATATATCTGTGAAATATGAAAACCCTAGCAGCAACCATTGAATAGATATGGAAAAGGTTAAAGTTTTTCAAAAGTAAGTCAAACATCAAGGTCAAGTTCAAATGTCAAAATTAATGGTGCCCAAGGAAAGGCCTTCTCACAAGAAATACACAAAAGTAGGTCAAACTCCAAGGTCAAGGTCAAAAGGTCCAAGTTGTTGGAATCCAAAGGAAGGTCTTGTCACAAGGACTACATATGTGAAATATGAAAGCCCTAGCACTAACCGTTCAAAAGTTATGGCCAAGGTTAAAGTTTTTCAAAAGTAGGTCAAACTCCAAGGTCAAGGTCAAAGTGTCAAAGTTTTTGGTATTCAAAGAAAAGTCTTGTCACAAGGATTACTCATGTGAAGTATGAAAACCCTAGCACCAATTGTTCAAAAGTTATGGCCAAGGTTAACGTTTTTTCAAAAGTACAGGTAACTCTTGATGGCTCGAACTTCGATCTCTCGAAGTTCTTGATCGCTCGAAGTGAGTCTCCGGTCCCGAATTTTTCCACTATATAACTAAGCAAATTTACTCTTGATTTCTCGAACTCTTGATCTCTCGAAACCCTTGATCCCTCGAAGTCAAAATGCAGTCCCGCTATGCATATTCTATTAGAATTTACCCTCGATACCTCGAAGTGGCTATGTGTATACAAGATTATATAATTAGCACCTTTACCTGGACATTTAAATGGCCCCAGGCAGAAGACGCGGGTCTCGAGGAACAGGATGTTTATTCAGGTGACACTTATGCTGCAAGGTGATAATTGATTTATAATGAATCATATTTTGCCTATATGCTATTAAAATAATTATCATCGACTGTCTTACGATAATTTAGAGACGCAGTGTCATTGAAAAGTAGTAATTTATTAAAAGACAAAAAACTAATTTAATTTTTATTTCGAGTCAGTGTCAAAGTTAAACGAAATATGAAAAAAGCAGAAACAGCCTCAATGTCAATATGACGACTATTATTCGACAAATACTTACAGAACTTCGTTCAGTGATCATGTTTGGAATAGTCAATGCTATGTACGACGCTGTAGAATGTCGTTTTCATGTAACGAATGCATAGTATGATGTCCGTATTACAAAGAATAAATAAATATACATGATATGACGATATACATTTTTGCTTTACTCAGTTTAATGAAATATTCATCTGAATTACGAAAATATATCGTTGTTTTATAAAAACCACGTGTAAAAGGTTAGCACTGCATGAAAATCATTACATCCGGTAAGACTAATTTTAAAACCTGTCAACAAACCCGGAAAATTCGGGACTCTTGAAAACTCGAACTCTTGATTTCTCGAAGTTTTTCCTCGGTCCCGCGGACTTCGAGGTTTCGAGAGTTACCTGTAGGTCAAACTCCAAGGTAAAGGTCATAGGGTCAAAGTTGTTGGTATCCGAAGGAAGGTCTTGTCACAAGGTATACCCATGTTAAGTTTGAAAGCCCTAGCTCCAACTATTCAAAAGTTATGGCCATGGCTAAAGTCTGAAAAAATTTTGCAAAAAGTGGGTCAAACTCCAAGGTCAAGGTTAAAAGGTCAAATTTTATGGTACCCAAAGAAAGATCTCGTCACAAGGAATACACATGACACATGTGAAATATGAAAGACATATCTTCAACCAATCAAAAGTTTTGGGCAAGGTTAAAGTTTTTGCGGACAGACAGACAGACAGTCAGATAGACAGACGGACGGACAGGGCAAAAACTATATGCCTCCGAATCTTCAATTATGGGGGCATAAAAATTTCTGCAATCTTTTGACTTGAACAAGGTGTAGGGTTGCCCCCCCCCCCCCCTTCTACCCAAAAGAAGCATACCTCAGTCTTTTTAACTTTTTCTGCAGTGGCGGTAATACATTGCAGCATGACTTTGATTGGCTCTCTAAGAAGTTCTCTTTCTATTGGTTGGCTGACGAGAGGGAGGCAGGCATTCCAGTAGTGACGGACAGCTGTCATCACTAAATCGTAATTTTCTGCATTTCTTGCAAATCTGGAAAGAAAAATATAATCATTAGACCAAGAAAATATTTTTTTTATTTTTGGGATTTCCTTGATACATACATAACAATCATATACTGTGGCATCAGCAAACTTTGTAATCTCTACTGTTTCACTTTTTCAATCATCACTATTTTCCATGTTTTCAGAGTATTTCATATTTTTTTATCAAGATTTTTCTTGACGTATTTTACCTTGCACTGTTGAGGAATGCTTCCAGAGCCTCCCGTCTAATGGCGTTCTTACCAGACATATTGTCTATCAGACTCTGACCCAGAACACCACTGGCGTAGGATAACATCTCCTGTTCTACAGCATAGCGGTGACTGAAAGCAAACAAGTTAGATAATAACAAAATACGGCAAATGGAACTAAAATCTCATGACAGAGATCAAAATAAAATTGCACATATTAATATAAGGGCCAATTCATCAAAAAACAATTAATTTAAAAGTAGCTTGGCAACAAAGATTAAAAAATACAGCTAAGATTTTAGTTCACATTAAAAGACATTTATTATTTTTGGTTTCGCACAGACATCTTGATAACTGCTAGCTGTGACTTACGCATCCATTTTCCTGTTCTTTGGTTGAGTGCCGATTGTGGCAAACCTAAGCGCCTTCTTGCTGCACCTGACCACCAGTTGGTGGTTCTTGACCTGATAGGACAGGGAGGCTAGGCGGGTCCACAGCTGGAGCTCCACAAATTTATCTGACCACTTACACTCCTCGATCATGTTAGCAATCTATCATGTCAATAATTGTGTTAGCTCTTTGGTTAAGATAAGACAACAATTATTTCCAGGTAGTTGAAATATAAGTTAAGAACATGCAAATTGCTCATTTTAAGATATTTGATTTAGCTAAATAGTGAACTTATAGTAATTATAAGTTCACTATTTAGCTAAATCAAATATCTTAAAATGAGCAATTTGCATGTTCATAACTTATATTTCAACTACCTGGAAATAAAAAGCAGCTACAAGCAACAATGTAGCCTATAAAAGTTGATAATTGTTATCATAATGGTAATATTTAGATTTCCTTATGGAACATTCAATCTGTGGATTAATGAAAACTAGAACACACATAAACATGTACTCATCTAAATGGTATTAATACAAGAAATATATAATAGACACATGTAAATACATGTTTATTGATGGTGTTTATGTTTTACCTCATTGACATTAGGTGCCTCCTTGAATTCCATGATTCCATTCCTGGACACATGTATCAATTCCACTGCTACAATAGCTCTGGTCATCTGCCTCTGACCCTCTGAGTATGGCTGCAAACAGAAAAAAATATGTTAAAGAGTTGATAAAAAGTTAACATTGTTTAAATTCGTTCCACTGATAAACAAGCATAACAAGAAATCAATTAAAGCATTAAATAGCTCTCTTGAAAAATCTGAGGCAAATGACATTCCAGAGTTACTATTAAAGTATACCAGTGTTTGAAACTCAAGGTAGAATTAGCTAGACATGCAGGGCTGACTGCTGGTGAAAGTTTTCAGCCCTGCCAAAACTCTACTAGCTCGAGAAAATAAGTCTTTTATAAATTTGCTTTTAGCAATAATGTGAATGGGGCACGATCACCATAACTTCCATCCCGAATCCATAGGCTGTTGAATTCTACCCCTTTGCTTGTTACATTTAGCTACAGATACTATTACTTGATTTGAGAGATATTTATCAATTATATGAATTTTAATTTATGACAAATTTTAAAACGTCCAGCCAGGCGTTGATACAGTACAATTCGTTTTTTATCATACTGGTTTTATATCATACTTCTTATTTTATCATAGATATCTGAAACACAAAACCATTTCTTAATAATTCATTATAAATTTCGTCTGTTATTATCATAGGTAAAAGTATACACTTCGCTTACTATAATAGTAAATTTCCGTCCGTAATATTTTTTTTCACACCTTTTCACTCTTGGGACAATCAATAAAACAAAAGATAACACCTATCTACACCTGTGGTTCATGCACTGTCGCTTGTCTATACACAATGGCTTGATTTTCACTTTGAAATTTGCCGATAGTGAAAGACTGGGGAGATTAGTCACACTTCAGTGCACTTACCTGAGCGATTGACAGGGAGTCTGTTTATTTCATAAAGTACATGACAGGATAACACGAACTGTTTTTTTTTTCCTAACTTATTTTCTTCTTACGTTAATCCTGAATTGTACGTTCGTAATACGTTTTACCAAAGGTGTTGAAACTAAATTTAGTGTCAATATTAACCCAAGCTTTCTTACGCTTGGTATTTGGATCAGTGTTCATAGTTAATTACATTTACAAAACTACCCGATTAATTAAGAAATAATTAAGTGAAATTAACTCTTTCACCAGTCTGTCCAAGCGGCTTTGAATGCATATGCTCATCAGTGTATCAATTAATTTTAATTATACGGCGACATTAAGTGTAAATAGGTAATTTTTTTTATGTCTACTTTGGATGAATAAAAGAAACAATTTGAATGCATGCTTTGTTGCTGTGTTAATTTATTTAATATGTGACCAAAAAAAAAACAAAAAACAAAAAAAAAAAAAAAACGAAACATTGGTAATTTGAATTGACCATAAATTGAAAATGAAAGTAGATCAAAATAAACAAGATGGATGCCAAGGGATCTAGAAGATTGAGTTTGAAGAGTATTAAGCTTTATTTAAGTGAATTTATTTACAATAAAAAGTTGAAACAGTAAGTAAATATTGTGAAATGATATGTCAGTTAACTTGTATTTCAAATAAACCTAAAAAATCGAAATTATATGTAACGTAAGATGTACAATACATCCAATAATTTACACAAACGTCGTATCGTCAGCCGTCGGACATGAATTTCAGCCGACTATGGTTATTATAAAAGTCGCTTATTATAAAGTTTTGGCCTGACAAATAAACTATGATAATAAACGAATTGTACTGTACTAGCAAATCTGTTCATCCGCTGCAAAATTTGAGCGTCCCGGGCGGTCGGGAGCACAGTTATTTCAAACACTGAGTATACATTTACACACATTGATATCACTACTCATGACAGATCTAAATCTATGAGACTTCTGTTACCTCGTCATCTGCTCCCAGTGTCTTGGGGATCTGTTGCTGAGCCATCTGTTTGGCCAGGACCCAGGTCTGTAGTAATGGCTGTCTCACTCCAATAGGAACAACATTAGCCTCTTTACTTCCATTAGTTACTTCTATGGCGTACTCACATACCTAGAAATATCATTATACATGTATGTTCTACTTTTAATCAATGAAAATAATGTAATATAGTGATCTTGGAAATACCTATACTTAGAGTGTTCAAGGAACACTGGTGCTTGAGGGTACTCATAATAATATTGGCATTTATAAGAATTTTAAAATAAGGTCAAAAGATTTTTTAAAAAATCACTATCATAAAAATGTGTTTTCTCTATAACTTATAAAAATCAATATTCTTTGAAAGGTTTGAAAGCATCCTTATTGACTATTGATACTTTGTTGATTAAATTTCCTTGCTCACTTTATATTATTAACCAGCTGCATTTGCAGAGGAGGTAATTTCTTTTCTTTGCAATTAAAGTCTGTTTAAAAATGCTACAATTTATCAATTATATTCAGCAGTGTTAGAAATAAGATATCCATACTTTGATGGCTCTCTTGAGATCAGGCATGGTATGAATACTACACATTTATATTACATTTCTTGAGATTATGCATGACATGTGCTGTGCAGAAATACTACATACACATTTATAGATAGTATAGAGTGGTTTTAGACATAAGATATTCATACTTCGATCGCTTTCTTGAGATTATGCAAGGCATGTGCTATGTAAAAGTACTAAAGATTTATAGACTGTATTTACAAGATATTCATACTTCAATGGCTTTCTTGAGATCAGGCATGGCATCAGGACTGATGGTGACCTGGTTGCTAGGAATGGGGGCTTTTCCCTTGGCTGGGGAGGCAGCAGCAGGAGGGGCTCCTTTACCTCCCTTTTTTCCTCCCCCTGGGGATGGGGCTGCTGTGGGGGATGGAGAGGAGGGCTCTTGCATTTCTTTGACTGGTTCATCTGGTATCCAGGGACACATCAAAGCAAAGGCCAGAGCCCCACAAATGTTTACCAACATCATGGTTTCCCTGTTTAAGTAAAGTCAAAATATTTAGAAATGCTATAAATCTTGACTTTCAAACATAAATTTGCTATATTGTACATAAAACATGTCCCAAATTAATATCATAAAAAAGAGGTAAATGAAAATAAATCTACGCAGCAATAATTAAATATATCAGTCTCAAATGATAGTATGTTCCTCACTCCATAGCTCCTACCCATTAATATCAAATACAATGCATTAAATATGACCATTATGACCTTTTGACTTACCCATCATGCCCCACTTTTTTAATGCCCTCTACGACCTTTGTCAAAGTGTCCATGACCTCTCTGTGTCTCCTCTGTGTCAGAACATGATTGTTATAGTTCCATATATAAGCTGCAGCACTGCACACCAGCCAGGGTTCCTCTAGCTCCACCCCCAACTCCAGACCTCTCAGAAAACTCTGAGTGGCATCAGCTGACAGAGACTTTATCCAATCACTGTCAAGAATTATTATTCAAGATAAATTTCTGAATTAATGTATTGTGATATAACAGAACATGAATCAAACAATAAATTCATCATTTCTTTACTCATATTAGATTTGTCCACACATTTTCAATATCAGATAATCTAAGAATTACAGAGATCATACTAAAATCCTACTTGAAATAATTTTTTCATATAAAGTCAATATGACCCAGAATTACCAATATTCAATCCAGTCTGGATCTTCCTCTGGTTTTTTGGCGACATAACCTTTGGGTCGTTTGCTCTTATCCACTGGTGGGATAGGCATATCATTCAGCTGAACACCTTCTGTCCTCAACAAATGGACAGTAGCCTGTAATGGACAATGGTAGTTTCTCATTTCTGCTAGAAACACACATATCCCTAGGCTTTTGAAATTTGCAAAGACAATGGATTATGGTAGAGAAAATGTTACTGATGCCAGTTACCTCCCCCTGAATGAAAGCGACCTCTGCAAGCATTCTGATGAGATCTTTGTCATACAGTGGTACAGTCCTTTCTGGACTTGTAGGTCGACTGCCTCCCATGGACTGCTGGGTCACCATGCGACTCTTCCTATCTGACATGTCAACAGTAGAGGGTGCCACTTCACCTCCTGCTGTGGTGGTTGACTGCTCAACAGGTGGTGCTGGAGTCTTGGCTTTTTCGGAAGGTTTTGGGCTAAAAATATATATTTGTAGGTGAACGTTTGGAATATGTTTTGAAATACATATTTTTATGCATTACCAATCTCTAAAATTTTTTTTTCAAATTCACACTCATACAGTTATCAACAAGAGATTTAGAAAGAAAAATTATACATCATTGTTGTAATCTAACAAATATTACAAAAGTTCATAGGTTTTCTGTCACTGAAGACAATTTTTTGATGGATATACAATTCAAATATCATAATGTTATAACTTCCCTTTTCAATGAATGCCAAAGTTTGTAAATACAATGTAGATAACAATTAAAGATTAAAAGCATAGGATCACAGTTTATGCCACAGCACACTGCAAGAAGAAATTGCTGAAATGGATGATAACATTTTTTATGATTTTGACCGATAAACATTTGAAGAAAAATTAGCTAGCTTCCACATCAAAGAGCATGCAATTTCTATACTTACATTACGCTAACACCACAAAACAAAATAAAATGGATGTGAAAAAATGAAATTTGAAAGGAGAATTTTCATACTCTTAAATCATTCAAAAGAAGCAACGATACATTTATTTGAATACAGTGTATTATGAATTCAACTCTATACAGAGAATAACTGAAGCCACCCAATCACTGAATCCCCTTTGTATTATGTGATATTTGATCTCAAAAAATTATCATCAAGAAGTGAAAAAAACTCCATAACTGTCATCTGGATTAACAAGGTGCCACTGTGCTTTAGGAACATCATGCTATTACTGCATACATTCATGTACTTCAAAAACTAATATCATTCAAGAAAATTGAACATGTTTCTCAGCCATACCTTTCCATTTTGGGGGGTGGAACATTCTTCCATCGTCCATCATCATACAGGAGACAAAATCGAGCAGCTACTCGACACACATCCCAGACTTCCTGTTTACGTGCCGTCTTAGCAAGGTCTCCCCAGAGTCTCGCTCTGAAAATCAGTGAATGTAATCTTATTTCAACATGAAAATCGGGGGATTGAAATGTTCTAAGACTTTGTAGTAAATTTGAATTTCCTTGACCTTAAAATAAATGCTCATAAAATTCATATAATTCTGATTTATTTTCTTCCAAAAATTGTCATATCTTATGCATCATTAGTTCAAACATTAAAGTTTCATGCAGTGAATTTGTTGAAAGATTTAATCAATTAAAAGTTGCAGCTATTAATGACATGAGTAGTTCCTGTTTTCATGAAGTATTTCAAGTATGTTACACTCATTTCTTTTTAAAAATAATTCAATTTTCATTTTTTTTGTTTATTAAATCTTTTGTTGATACATAGGGTATATTAACCATTTTGCTGAAAATCAAATACATTATGTAAATATGCAGCACTAACTAAAATTCTACATTAATACAATTTATTTTTTTATACTTCTAAATAATGGTATATTTTGAGGTCATTTATTATACAGACTGATATTGTTAAAATTCTAGACTCAAAGTCCCTATCTTCTATTCAAAATGGGGGTGGGGATTTTTTAATATACATACAATGAAGTATTTTCATACCAACACTATGTATTTCATGAATGTTTTGAAAGCTACTGTACAACACATCAATGCCAACAGCTGACTATGCCAATGGGATTTTTAATTAGCTATATGTAGTTTAACACACAATACTTAACTGTTCTCTATCATTTTCAACTCTGGAACCAATTGATTGTTTAAAAGTTAAAAAAAAAGTTACATTCACAAATAAATCTACATGTACTTTATAAAATATATATATTCTTAAATCGAATTCTTATTTCAAAAAAGTACAATGATAACGTATCTTTTAACCTAATGTTCAGCTTTATATCAGGACTTAAAATTATGGAATATCTATATGTAGGATAAAAACAAAATATGCTTAATTCTGCAAACACAAATTTCAAACAAACTGGACTATAACTTACAGAAACAAGTTATACATATAACAACTCGGCTAGTTTAAGTCCTGTTATTTACAAAATAATTCTAGTTGGAAGGCAAAAATTTCTATACATTTTTGACCTTTTTTAAAGACTTAATACATTTTTGAACCTTTCTTTTAAGACTTGTCTCATTCACTGACCTTTCCCTATCGTTCTCGTCCCCGAGTCTCTTTAGATGTCCCTCAGCTTTTCTCACACACTTGTTAAACTGTCGAGCCTTGTTTGCCAGTTTCTGTATTGCTGTTTGAGGGGCTTTGCCTCCCGTGACATCTGATAAAAAATAAGCATACTCATGCAATTTGTAACTCATGCTTAAGGGCAGGCAACTCCCCAAAGAGCTGATTAAAAAGAACAAATGTGGCTTATCAAAAATGAGAGAAATTTATGTATATTACAATGATTATTTTACATACATCATATTCATAAAGATTTGATAGTGGTGTTCTGACTAAGAAAGAATGAAAGCCTACTCCCCACAAATAATGAACAATTCAATTACAAGAGAATACCAATTCCAATGTTAAAAATTTTTACATAAATCCATAAGAATATAAGAATGGACAGAGGTGAGAAATTTTGACTTGAACATTTTCAACCATATTACAGGTATGCAATACGATTTCTAGATTGTATTCATGCAAAAATCAAGTATGGTGAACCAATTTTATTTTGAAAACAAAAAATTATCTAAAGAAAACACAATAACATGCAACTTGAACAAATTAAGTGTTTGATGCATTGTAAAATATGCTGAAAGATTTCAGTTCTTTGGTTAATCTACTGATACATCTATAATAAATAAATCTAAGTGGCATTTAGATTTTACTAAATCTGTGTCAATTCTTGGTGAAACTGAGTGTTAAATCCAAGATTCTTGCAACCTCAAAATTTTCTAAACACAGTTGTACTTCATTTAATATCTCGAACACCAATATCTCAAATACTAGGGATATGTCAAAATGAATTGGTAGTTCCAACTACTTTTTCTTTTTTAACCTCTTATCTTGAGTCCTCAGTTATCTTGATGTTTATTTTTGGTCATGTTTAGTTTGAGAAAATGAGGTTTGAGTGTACTTATTTGTATGTATTTGCTAAAATATATATTGAAAACTATGTAAACTAATTGACACAGGATTACTTCATTCTGAATGATAAATTGAACTACTGTCTACAGGATTAGTGGGACATAAGACCACAATACCTTTAACTGTGTTTTGAAAGTTAAATGTAGACCTTAAATCTATTGTACATTTCCCCAGTAGCTTTGAACTACAGTATATTGTACACATATGATATTAGAATATATGCGATAACAATCCTTTATTAATTTTCCCCATCTAAATTGTTAATGGTGCCTCTAAAATATTTTTTTTTATTTTGCAATAGCATGCAATGACTTAGATAAGTCCTGTTCTATGATTCTGTGTTAACATTTAAATATAAATTTATATTAAACGACTCCGGTGGAAACTTGCTGACAATGTATATACAATTTGTAAAATTTCATTACAAAGAAAATGTCTCTACAGTTTCTAAAAAAATCAATGTTTCATATAGACAGTAACTTGAATGTTGTTGACTATAGCAAGAGAAGAGTGTTTCCTTGAATATTTGGATTTGAGTGATAGAACAATAGAAATCACAAAAACTGGTCACACCAAACCTTGTTTTACAGGTTGATAGAACAGAACTATAACCAATGTAGTCATTGTGAATTTTTTTCTCCAGATTTTATGAGCAGAAAAGACAAAGACTTATAAATTAAAATCTGATCTTCCTTTCATAAGATAATTTGAATGCCTTAATGGCTTGCCTCAGAAAATCTGGAAAAACAATTTGCAATGACTTTATAAATTTGATTGTGTTATGAAACCTTTTTTGTTTTCAGTTGAGTTTTTCTCTGAAATAAAAACAAGCAATAAATATGTTAATATCTTCACTGCATGAACAATAGTCCACTTCCATAAAACAGTTATAAGTGAAAAAAAAAGAAGAAAAATCACATTATAACTAAACTAGTGCTAATTGTAACGGGAACCGTTACAGATGTTCCCCAAACGGCTCCCCAATCCCTTATGATGCCCCATTCCCTACAAGCTTCAATAGATTAGACAATACTTTTGTAATATAGATGGACACTTATTTTTTAAGGGTATTTCATTGGAAAACTACTCCGATATAGCCACATGGGTATTAGCCAATCAAATTTCAGCGCATGTGCTTGCACATGTTTTCTACATTTTTCACATTGATTTTCTTATAGTGTCTCACAATACATACATTATTGTTAAATATTAAAGAATCTCATTAAAAAATAAGAGAGATGTAACCCTTTAAGTATTAGCCAATCAGAATTCAGCATACGCGCATGCATGGTCTTGCATTCAATTTTGATAGTATCATAATGTAGGAGCTCTATGTGCCTATCCAAGTCATAAATTTCATCCTGTTTTGTTGAAAACCAAGGGAGTTATAGACATTTAAAGTTTCAACCAATCAGATTGCAGCACACCTGCATGCGCGTGTTTTCAAGAATTTTCCTATACAACATATTGTAGCACCTTACAATATATACTTATATTCTAAATTTCAAAGTATTTTGTCAAAAAACAAGGAAATTATTGAAATTTTTGTATCAGCCAATCAGAGAAGAGCGCACTTGCATGCGCGTGAGTTCACGCTAATTTGACCATTTTATCTTGTCTAGACTACTAATATATCTTTATACTTTGAGTTTCAAAGCAATTCACCAAGAAATATAAAAGTTACGGCTTCATCAAGTATATCAGTCATTTCACTCATTGCACGCGCGTGCACGTGCATGCATGTGCGCGCAAAATGACCTTCGTTCCGAACACCTACACAACATGCCTATTAACCCTAAAAAGGTTTCATGTCAATCGGATGAGTGGTTCTATGAGAACACTCCCGGACAAAAAAGTACCGGAGAAGAAAGTAGAAAAAAAGAATAATAATAATAACTAGAAACTCATTGCGAGCAATGAGAGGTCTTCCGTCCGATTCTGAAAATAAAAACGAAAATTCAAGCTGAAAAAGTGATAAAAGAAATTCAGACACTCTGGAGATTTAGCCCTGGTCAACAGCATTAAAATCCAACGTGCTTACCATTAACCATTCACTTTTTTGCATCACTTCCTGTCACGACCAGAAGTAACGGCGACACACGATTTTCATACGATGCAAATAAACTAATGACAGACTGTCAGTCCTGAAAGTTTCAGATTCCAGTCGTTTATTGTTGCCGAGCAATTGTGAGAAAAAATTCTAATTTTGAGGACAGGAAAACACGCGACGGGAAGTGAATTTTATAAAAAAAAAAAAAATCTCTAACGTGTCTTTAGACATTGCAGTATCTACAACATGTATTAAAACATTTCAATTCTTTTTTCTATAAGCGATATTTATGAGATAGTTGAATATCGAAATAACGTATTTTATCTCCTAAAAGCGGAAGTTGACGTTTTTGTTTCCGGAGGAGTCTAACATATTTCAAAACAGCGAAAGAGATGCAATAAGGTAATGCAAGTTTTAATTTAAACAAGAAAAGTTTATTTTTTGGATTTTTTTTTATCACTTCCTGTGACGACCAGAAGTGACGGCTGACATTTAACCCAAATGATTTCGCCTACTCTTCAAGGTCTATTATTCATATAAGTTTGTTGTCTTAATCTCTTACCGTTTCTGAGATCTCACTCAGATATTTTCTCACTTTGAGGACAGAAAAACACGCGACCGGAAGTGAATTTTGCAAAGATATTTGACGTTATTATAGACATTTGCAATCTGAATAACATATCTAAAAATCATTTCAAATACTTTACCTATAAAAGATATTTATGGGAAAGTAAAATACTCAAATTGTGTAGTTTTTCTCTTATAACCGGAAGTTGTATTTTTTTTTTGTTTCGGGTGGTACCAACACATATCAAAACTGTGAAAAAGATACAATTATATGATGCAAGTCTTATTCCAAAAGAGAAAAGTTGAAATTTTCGATTTCTTTGATCACTTCCTGTGACGACCGGAAGTGACGACTGACGCTCTTAACCCAAATGGTTTTGTCTACTCTTCAAGGTCTATTACTCATAAAAGTTTGTTGTCTAAATCTCTTACCGTTTCTGAGATCTCACTCAGATATTTTCTCACTTTGAGGACAGAAAAACACGCGACCGGAAGTGAATTTTGCAAAGATATTTGACGTTATTATAGGTATTTGCAATCTGAATAACATATCTAAAAATCATTTCAAATGCTTTACCTATAAAAGATATTCATGGGAAAGTAAAATACTCAAATTGTGTAGTTTTTCTCTTATAACCGGAAGTAGTCGTTTTTGTTTCCGGTGGGACAAACATATTTCGAAACTGTGAAAGACTTGCAATAATGTGATGCAAGATTTGATTAAAAAAAGAAAAATTGAAATTTTCGATTTCTTTGAACACTTCCGGTGACGACCGGAAGTACTGACGTCGAAAACCAAGGTAATTTCGAACATGTAGAAGTCATGGTCTATCATCTCTAACAAGTCTCCAGTTCATATCTTTAGCCGTTTCTTAGATCCTTCGAGGACAAAATTTCATTTTAAAATCAGGAAATTGTCCATAACTTGGCACTGGAACCGAATTTACCAAAAAACGGAATTTTATATAAAATTCATATAAAGACCTTTTATCCCTGAAAATTTCAAAGAAATTCATTGAATAGTTTTCGAGAAATCGCGTGCACAAAATTTTGTCTAAAAAAAAAAGAATAATAATAACTAGAAACTCATTGCGAGCAATGAGAGGTCTTCCGTCGGATTCTGAAAATAAAAACGAAAATTCAAGCTGAAAAAGAGATCAAAGAAATTCAGACACCCTGGTCGTCAGCGTGAAAATCCAACGTACTAACCATTAACCATTCACTTTTTTGCATCACTTCCTGTCACGACCAGAAGTAACAGCGAAACACGATTTACATACGATGCAAATAAACTGATGACGGACTATCAGTCCTGAAAGTTTTAGACTTCAGTCTTTTATTGTTGCCGAGCAATTGTGAGAACAAATTCTAATTTTGAGGACAGGAAAACACGTGACCGGAAGTGAATTTTATAAAAAAATCTCTAACATTTCTCTAGACATTGCAGTATCTACAACATGTATTAAAACATTTCAATTCTTTTTCTATAAGCGATATTTATGAGAAAGTTAAATATCGAAACAACGTATTTTATCTTCTTAAACCGGAAGTTGACGTTTTTGTTTCCG